CCTCTTAACAAACTCCCAGCCATCATGAACTCCCTTTCCTTTTAGTATTATTGTCCATGGGATCTCACCCAGCACTTCCCTAAGTTTTATGAAGTCGGCTTTCTTAAAGTCAAGAAATTGAGTCCTAGTATGCTTGGCTGCTCCTTTCCGCTGTATAGTAAACTTCAGAAGAGCATGATCACTCGTGCCTAATGATCCTTCCACTTCTACCCCACTAACCAGGTCATCAACATTGGTTAGGACCAGATCTAAAATGGCTGTTCCTCTTGTTGCTTCTCCCACTTTCTGGACAATGAAGTTGTCTGCAAGGCCAGTGAGGAATCTGTTTGACCTTATGCTCTTTGCTGAGTTTGACATCCAACAAATATCCGGGTAATTGAAGTCCCCCATTACTACTATCTCCCTTCCTTTTGCATGCTTGGCCATCTGTTCCAGGAAGGCATCATCCATGTCCTCCGTTTGGCTTGGGGATCTATAGTAAACTCCCACAACGAGGTCACTGTTATTCTTCTCTCCCTTAATTTTGACCCAAATGCTCTCACTTTGGCTTTGAGGTTCTAAATCTTGGATCTCTTCACAGGTATACACATCCCTGACATATAACGCCACTCCTCCTCCTTTCTTGTCTGGTCTGTTTCTCTGAAATAGATTGTATCCCCCATTATTACATTCCAATCGTGGGACTTATCCCACCAGGTTTCAGTGATGCCTATTATGTCATATTTAGTTTGCTGTACCAAGAGCTCAAGCTCATCTTGTTTATTTCCCATGCTTTGCGCATTAGTGTACAGACATTGAAGTCCATTAATCATTCCCCGTGTTTCTTATTTAAGGATTTTTTCCTCCCACCACTAGGTCTGTGTGCTGTTTGCTCCATTTGGTCTATGACATTTGGATGATCATCTTCATCAATTGATAGACTCCTACCTTCAGGAGCACTGTCTCCCTCCCCACATTAGTCAGTTTAAAGCCCTCCTGATGAGGTTTCTGAGATTTTTGGCAAAAACATTCCTCCCAACCGTTGTGAGGTGCAGCCCATCGCTTGCCAGAAGTCCATCTTCAAGAAACTGCAGTCCGTGATCTAAGAATCCAAACCGTTCCTGTTTACACCATTTGCGAAGCCAGCTGTTCACTTCCACTATTTTCCCTCTCTCCCTGGGCCACGTCGTTCAACTGGGAGGACAGATGAGATGACAATTTGTGCATTTAATTGCTTCAACTTCCTGCCCAGAGCCTCGTAGTCTCTTTTGATCTTCTGGAGGCTATTGCTCGCAGTGTCATTGGTTCCCACATGAACCAAGAGGAAGGGGTATTTGTCAGTGGGTTTTATGATTCCTTGCAGTCGTTCAGTTACATCTTGGATCTTAGCCCCGGGGACAGCACACTTCCCGAGACATCTTGTCAGGCCCACAGATCACTGCTTCTGTTCCCCTCAGTAGGGAATCCCCTATCACCACTACACGCCTCCTCTTAGGTTTGGTCGGGGTTCTTCCGTGAGCTGTCCGTTCCAAGGTCGCCTGCACATTCCCTGAGGACTGACTTTGCTGCTCGTCTTCATATACCTGATCAACTGTAATGAGGGAGAGATCCTCAAATGGAGTCTGCTCTTCGTCTTCCATGCTAGGGGAGAGGACCTCAAAGCGATTGTGTATTTCTAAACAATCAGAGCGAACCTTGGGCCTCCTACTTCTTTGAGTCACGTTTCTCCATATATCTGGCTCCTGTGTTGGTGTACTAGCCTCCTTGTCAGGGGAATCCCCTGTCTGCTCCTTGGTGGAGACGTTGTGCTCTGCTGCTTCCAAGAAAAGCTCCAGCTCCCTAATTCTTTGGAGCGTAGCTACACGTTCCTCCAGTTGCTGGACTTTGTCTTTTAAGAGGGCAATCAACATGCAATTGCTGCAGGTAAAGCTGCCTGCAACCATTGGCAAGATGGCAAACATTGCGCAGGAACCGCAGGCGACTGCAGCTGTTCCCTCCCCCCTCCATCTTGAGAACGTGTCGTTGGGGCTGGCTACAGCGGTTCTCCAACATAAAAAGCGTAAAGAGAGGACAAATAACTCCCCCCACACAAAACAAACAAACAAACAAACAAACAAAAAACCCTTGGTCTCCCCCAACAAACGTTTGAGACTAGCTCCCCTAAATCTAAAGGATGGATCAAACTGCGCGCGCCGCTAGGCGCGCGCCGCTGCCCTGCAAACTCTGATAAGCTCCTCCCACAGCTAATCACCTGCCTCAACAGAAACCCTGCCCCCTCTGACCTTTGCACAGGGAGAGCAGCCAATCAGCCACAAAGAAACACACACACACAAGAAAACCCTTTTTGCTCCTTCTTCAACTGCTGCCCTGCAAACTCTCAAACTGCAAACTGCTGCCCTGCAAACTCTGATTTATGGTGACATAAATCAGAGATTCAGATGAGGCACAGCATGATTTTGCTGACCGTGCTGCTTCCCCCACCTCTCCAAAGAAACTCAGTATTCTGGGCAGGAAGCCAAATATACAGATTAGTAAAAAGTGTAAACAGATTTGACACTCTCTAAAAGAATGCCCAGCTAACAGAAGAAAACTGGAGAAGGTTTGGAGAAAATCCTGAATTGGCTGATTAAAGCTTCATTACTGATGAAGGAATGTCAGGGTTTAAGATGAAATGAAATAGTATGCCAACAGCGTGTAGAAATCCATAAAATATCACTAATATACAGATTTGGCTTGTAAGCACCTGTGTCACACAAGGAGAAAATGAACACAAAGTAAAGGAGAAAATGAACACAAAGTAAGTGAGGAACTTCAGCACTTGCTCTGTCCAGTTGTAGGCATGCCTCTGTCAGTGAGCTCCAGGCTGGGAGAGGAACATAGATCTATGTTTACTGTCCCCTAATACAACATGATGCTAGAAAGTGGTTGAGCTGTGAGCTAGACACATGGGAAAGTGATCAAACTACCTCTTCCTCACCTCCAAACTTTCCATGGATTTGTTTTTGCAACATACTAACTTGGTCCCAAAGTTGTATGCCACCTCAAATGATTCATTCATCAAGAGGAGAGCTGTTAGAATACTATTTGACCCAGTATTACCTATTCTGACAGGCAGTGGCTCGAAGGATCCATGAAGAGGTCTTTGACAATAGGAGGCCCTGCTATGCATCCTATCACCAAAAGAAGTTCCATGGGTGAGTGAGGACATTTTGAAGGTGAGACTAGGCTCATCCCTGGTGATATTTAGGTGAGCAGTGAAAACAATTCTTATTCCACGTGATATTTAATCATTGTTAAAATATGACTGGAAAGTTGTTCTTTAACTTTGCTCCTTTTGATTTTAACATTTTAGTTTTTGTTTTTATTACAGTGGTACCTCGGGTTACATACGCTTCAGGTTACAGACTCCGCTAACCCAGAAATAGTACCTCGGGTTAAGAACTTTGCTTCAGGATGAGAACAGAAATCGTGCTCTGGCGGCGCGGCAGCAACAGGAGGCCCCATTAGCTAAAGTGGTGCTTCAGGTTAAGAACAGTTTCAAGTTAAGAAGAGACCTCCGGAACAAATTAAGTACTTAACCCGAGGTACCACTGTACTTGGGATTCTTTATGTGTGCCACTTTGAAGGCTCTTGTGACGGTTCAGAAGCTGGGTAAAATGTGTGTGTGTGTGTGTGTGTGTTTTGCAAATAAATATAAAATAAATCACCTGCTACCTTAGCTGATTGTTTTTACTGGTGATGCCACGAATTGTACCACTGAGCTGTAGTTCTTCCATAAACTACCTCAGGAGAGGCCTCTTGTTGGCCCTCTCAGGCTTAATGCAGGAGCAGGAGTAGCAAATTTCCCACAATGCCCTAGATGCTATATCAGGGGCATGGTGGAAAATTAAAATGGCAGCTCCTGCACCCAGCTTGGAGGCTTCAGAGCAGTTGTCAGTGCTGTTGGCCTTGCACTGAGGCCTTGCAGCTGCCTCAGAATGACAGGTGCTGACTGACACATTACAAGTATGCCAGTCAGAAGCACCAGCCCTATGTGAACATCCAAATGGTTGTCACAAATTACCTGATAACATTACAAAGATCAGAATGAGGCTAGAATCCAGCAGAGATATCTGAACATAACAAAAACATGACAAACCTGTTTACAAGATCAGAAAACGAGTGAACATACCATGAACGTCGTATCACTGATAAAACGTATCATCTATCTCTGCCTTGAGATGATGGATGACTGAATTATCAGGATTGAAAACATGGTCCATATGAAATCTAAACTAGAGGCAGAAAGAAGCAAAGGTTACGGAAGTCAATTTATAGCTAAACTTCTAGCACGAGTGTTAAGTAAGTCAGCTATTTCAGATAGGTTTTTTAAAAAAACAGACACACACTAAAATCTCCACATTTATCTGCAATAATCTCCTTAAAATTTCCATAAAAACACAATACTCAGTGTGAAGAACATAATTGCTACAAAATGAAAATGGCACTTTTTTCCTTTGGGAAGTGGGATGGGGAGGAGGAGAGACAGACCAGAGCACTTGATTAAGCAGACTATAAGAGCCAGACATAATACCATTAACACGCTGTTCCAAAGCCATTCTGTTATAAATTAGTCATCAAATGTGAAGGACAAAATAAGTTCCCCTATACAAGAAGTGTCAATTCAGTAACATTTTTTTAAAGCATAATATATTTTTAAGGAGTGTCCTTTACTATAAGCAGTTTCTTTTAAATCCTCCATTGTTCACAAGGTTGCAGGGCCCTTAATGCTAAGAAGGAATGCCAATTATAAACCTTGTTAAACAACACTTGCTCCATTACTGGTCCATATCCTCTCAGACAAAATAGCTTGATGAAAGGAAGCAATTCTTTAAAAGAAAGGAAGAAACACAACTAAAAGGCAAAATTAGCAGCAAATTGTGCCTCTGTTCATTTTTTCCCTCATCCTTTTCTTCAGAAAGCAATAAAAATTAAAATGAGATTGCTGTAACCATAGAAAGAACATATGACAGACAAGTCTCTTTTCTTTAAAGACTTTATTACGTAATCAAAACATTCTACAATATAACAAAACAAAGAACCAAGTGGTGACTGGCCACTACAGATCTGTGATGCACCATAACATAGAAAGTCTTCATCCAAGCAAGAAAATTGGAATATTATTTTCATGGAAGCAGAAAAGGCTAACGCCAATTAAAATCAAATTTAGTGGGAACACACCAGCCATGAATTTGTTTTTTACTATACTGGACATCATTGGCTTACTCCATTGGCTTAGTAGTGTCTCGTGAAACACGTGTAAAACGAGTCAATTTTTATGAAATTGCAATATGCAGGGCCTTATTAAACCAGATGATAAGGGAAAAGTCCAACGTATTTCTGCCTCCCTGAGAAACGGTTGGTCTGGTTGCAACCAACAAATATATGAGTTTTACAAATCAATTCTTCTATTTTCTATCTAGTTTACAGCGTAATGTTTTGTAGGGGAGGGGTGTGGTTTTGGCTTAACAATTCTGGGCTATTCCTCTCCGATTTGTTTGTATGGTTTCATTTTTTTCTGAGATTCAATACCCATCCAATAAGCACAGGACATGATTGTGTGCGTCTGCGCCAAGGCCACAGCGAACCCGTTTTCTGTATGCACTCCTGTATGCATTATCTGCTGCATATAACAGAGGCAGCTGTGGCAGAACATGCATGTCCTCTTACCATACCCACCAAACAGTAATGCAGTTGTAAATTATGAAGTGCAGGTGACTCTCCATCACCAGGATTCCCTGCTCTGTGCTACGGTCACTTCCCACAGTGAGTTTCAAATTTACAACTACACTCAACCTTTTATCTACGCCAGTAAGGCAGTAGCCTGGGCACATGTCAGACAGAAACTGTAAATGAAGTTAGTACAGCTGAGAGCCGCATCGTACCACCCCTTACTTCTCCCTTACACCAGGAGATGTTGGACTTCAGCTCCCATCAGCTGGGAAGATCTGTATCCTGAAAAGGATATAAATGACTAATAAAGCCCCAGCTAGCATGGCCAATGATATGGAACTACAACACCCATCCGCCAGAGTTTTCCCATCCCTGTTCCACGCAGTGACTGGAGTGTACCCAATCAATGCATGTGTACCCACTTTGTGTACACACAGTGGAAAAACCATACTTTCATCACCGTTAATCACAAGATTAAACACAAGGGAACTTTGTGTGGTAAGACACCAATATTTTGACTATGTTTTTTGCAAGACCAATACTCATCTGTGACATTCTTCATCAGTTGGTTTTCTTACCAATGAGGTAGATAACTGTTAACTCAGGAATCACCAACCTAATGCCAGGGGGATTAATTGCACCTATCCTGACTTCCCCCAGCAACTCCAAAGCTTCTTGTGCTTCCCCAACATTTTTTTCTCCCCTCCATCAGATGCAGAAGGGAGCAGCTACTCCATAAACAGCACATAGAACTGATCAAAGGAGTAGGATTTGCATAATTCCCACTTTCTCTCTCTATGCATTTTCCCCCAGGCTAACTTCTGCACCCAAGCTGGAAGGAGGGAGAGTGCCCTGTAGAAAATGTTTTCAAAAGGACAGAGAGGAAAACATAAATTTGTGGGAAGCAGAGGCAGCAAGGAAAGAAGTGGAGCATGTCCCCTCTGGGAATGGGGATTTGTTCCTCTTCTCTCTGAGGCTGGTTTGTGTGTCTTGGGAGAGAGGAAGAGGGCTAAAGTTTGGGTGCATTTGACCATGCCCACATCGGCAACCATTTTGTGACAGCACCTTCAGCAAAATATTGATTCCAAAATGTGATCATGGGCCCCCAAAAGCTGGCAATTCCTGTAACCCAATTACACAAAGCTGTTTCAAAGAAAGAATTATTATACCTGATAGCATTACAAAAAAAATATTTTTCTGCATAGTTCTTGCTGCTTATTTGCTGAATTTTTCATGGAGAGTAGGTACAAAAATAAAATGGGTAAAGTCTAATAATAAAAAAATTTGAATGCACAATGTAAATTTTTAAATCATGTGGAGAGAAACAGCATTATACCACAAAAGAATAACCTTGTAAGTTTAGAAACAAGTTGTCTTTCATTCTCTTAAGTTGAAACAAGAACAACAAAAATCACATGAGGACTTTCATTTGGCTTAGCAACTAGGAAAATCATAAAGCAGCTTTTTCTTTTTAAGTGCTTAACCCCCATCCCCAAGAGTAATGACTTTGAGACCTACTTAATGTGAATGCGCTCAAAAAGCCACTGCTTATGAGAGCAAAGCTGTCATTCCGAAGATTTACACACACACACGGGCTCTCAGCATGAATGAAAGATTGCATTGAGCCGCTCCTCATCATATGATGCCTCAGATCAATGTAATGCTATTAAGGGCAGTAGTTGGCTAAATCCAAGCATCTTGAAATCTGAATGCAATAGGTACAAAAGTAGTCAACTCTTTAAAAACAGTAAGAAGTGGTCTGTCCTTTCTCTCTCTCAGTAACATACAGGTAACATTACATAACTTAAAACCCAAAAAATTTATTCTCAATTATTCCATCCTACCTGCATGAAGGGCATATTCTGCAACATGAAATCCTACTTTATTCTGGCTGAAATTCAGCATACTTCTATCTTAAAGTAGCTTAGTGCTGCTGATCCCACAAAACTAATCTTAACAGCAGGTAAACTTAAGTGATTTGTGGATCTCTTAAGGAGATTGGAGAAACTCAAAATCAGAAAGGGCAATTTACTTGATTGAGGAAGTATGCACCAATGCCTTTATTATAATTCTGCACCAAGTACCAAGACACAGTTTTGACTTAGAATTGACAAACGTATCAAAATGTTTCAAGGTGGAAGCATGTACGGTGGCATTTCACAACTGGATGCACTTCCACTTGGGTAGATTTTTTTTATTTCATCAAAATTAGTTTGTTGTTAAATTATTGCGGGGTTCCCCCAAAGTAGCTTATTGAAGTTTTCATTTGCCTGGGTTGCTTGAAAGGTATTTAGGAACAGGGTGTTACTAACTTCCGTCCTGTTAGGCAGATATAATTATTTAAAATACCCTGGTTGTTTATTTAAAGTACTAATATGCTGCCTTTCAGTTCAGAGACCTCCCAAGGCAGCTTAAAAAAGACAGTTAGAGGTATATGCATAGTGGGATAGTTTAGCTTTATACACTTAGCAGGCACATTGTGCTTCCATTGGATTTACAGTACAACCCACTTGAAATGCTTTCCATCCAGGCCTTCTGCTGCTATTCTGAAAGAGCATTGCCTATACTCCCTTATGCTGTACAATGGGACAGCCCCAGCTCTCTTTCTGGGCCTATGGCTGAGAGAAACAGTAATAATTAACAAACATGCCAGTGTGGGTGGCAGAGAATACTTTACTACTGAAGTCCAAATGGAAGCAAAAGCCTGCAGCTTGAAAAAGCTTGGTGCAAATGAATCCAGCGTATCATCAGGTTGGGTTTTCAATGTATAGGAAACCCTGGGCTGGGTTAAACTATGTAGGTGTGCTAGCAGGTGCCAGAACACAGTGGGACTTTGCCCCCTTCCCCTGCACCCCCACCTCAAATCAGGACTGGACAACCCCCAGAACAGCATGCAGGAGGTTGAATGGGGTCGTTCTTTCAGGCAAACTGAAATGCTTGTGCTGACAGAACTGACAAAGTGCAAATGTGTATCTAAGCTCCAATTAAGCCCTGTTGTAAGGTACACATGAGAATTCCCACTGGGGGGGAATCCATCGAACAACTACATGCACACAGCCCTGGGCAGAAATAAACCTAAGAATTCCAAGCCCCCGGTAACGTCTCATAGGGTCTTTTTAATCAAAGAAGAGACTAATTAACTCCACAGGAAAAAATAGCGCAGTGCTGTCAAATGCTCAGAGCTACAATAGTGTCATTACATTTCCAATTACTGCAATTGTAAGGTGTACCTTGAAACTATAACAAGGCAAAATGTTTTCCTATCACCTGATTGTGTGCCAGTCCACACGGGTGCGAGGCTGGGCTTCTGAAGTAATCTCAAGTTCATGCACACACACACACCCCAAATAAGTTGTTGGTGGCATCTGTCTGTCTCAGGAAACAATGGAGTGCGTCTCTGGGGCCAGGCGCATGCAGCGCTTTTCTGACACCCAGGGTGGGAGTCTTGTTAGAACAAAGTTAAAACTCAAACAAAAAAGCAGTCGGTCCATGGTGGGGTCTGCTGGCTGGCTTAGCCCTCCGAGGCCCAGGGCAAGTGTACCCAACTGCCTGTCGCCTTCTGCACGGACCTGCCTGGGGCTGAAGTCAAACCATTGGAGAATCAGTGCCTGCTGTGGTTGCAAAGACTGGAAACTCATAACTGCTCTGCCCCCCAAATTGCTTTTGCAGCATTAGCAGCACTGAAGGTGCTGCACTGGGGTGCAAGCCTGGGCAGTGTGCATTGAGGTCCTGGACTGCCCAGACAACAATACCCACCCCCTAGCCTGGCTTATGTGGTCCAAAGGAAAGCCGAGCGATACATGTGGCACCAGCTTGGCTGCAGGAGTTGTCAGGAGGTGGTATACAAGGTGCCATCCAACTGTCTTAGGAGCTCTACTCCGGATTTGTGAGCCATTTACCCCTTAGACTTTTCATTTCCTGAAGGTGTCCCACAAGGGATTTTTCCTCGGGGGTTACTTCTAAAGCCTTTTTCACGAGTGAGTATAGCCACAAGGCAGTGAAGGTTTAGGATCAGTTTTCCTTCTCCTAGATGGGCTACCTCACCAGGTTGATGAGCCCCATCTGCCCCTCTTTCCCTCCGCACAGGATGTGCAGAAACTGCCTTCTTGACCATCGGACCCCCTGTCAGAATGCAATGTTTTAATCTCACCCGCTCCTAAATCTCCAATCTAGTAACAGCTACAGTGAAATCCAAAAATATGTTAGGGGGGTAGAAAGAAGCCTCACGGTTGCTTTACTTGTGACATTTTTCTTAAAAAGACAACTGCGACAGAGTCCAGATTTCTACCACTTTATTCCATGTTGGTTGCAGGGTGGCAGTTTTTGACTGCCAAGTATCAGTGTCTTCAACCTTGTGTCCCAACAATAAGCACTAATTATTCCAGTTCTCTCTCACACACACATATAACATCCAGGATGGCCCAGATTTCAGTGATATTCATATAAACTCCAAACACAAGCAGTGGGAAGCCAGTCCCACTTACTCCCTCGTGTCATTAGCATTTGAATCCAAGGATAGAACTACATGTCATGTGCAGCTTCATTATTCTTCCTTTCTTTTCACACAATTCAGCCACTCAGGATGCCCTCTGAAGTGGAATTCTGGAGTGGAGAACAGCATCAACCCTCCCCCCCCCCTTGAGGAAAACCGCCTTGACTCCCACTATGGAAAAGGTAAATAACACAAGCAGCATTTTTAATTGGGAGTAGGGAGGAAAGGGGAAAGGGTAAATTCCCACCCCCACACCAGTCTTCACCTTCAAATTGCACCAAAAGGCTGAATTACATATATCTGTAAAAACAGTGCAATACCTCATAACATACTTCTGCTCTAAATGTATTTGAAGCCACAGGAAACCATGGAGTGGGAAGTGGAGGATGAGAGAAGAGAAGCTGCTGAGCATCACACTTTTATGTTTAGTCCGATAGTGGTTTCAAGGGGGGGAAAACAAGAGGTGCACTAAGCTCTGCCTTAATATAAGACCCTGAAAATCAGAGGTCCTAGTTTGCTTATACCTTGTTAAAATGACAGAAAAATCGGTGCCTCATTTGCTACAAAATACTATCAACTTCAGAAATCTTCATAAAATATCTGTGTAAAAAACCCCAATACTTCCCATAAATATACATGAACTTGTTTAGGCTATAAGCCAGAGCTTTCCAAACTTTTCATGTTGGTGACATACTTTTTAGACAGTTGCACAGTTTCGCAACATTGTAATTCACTTTTACTAGCAAACCGGCGGGCTGCCCACTCCCTTTCCAGCCCTGGGAGGAATGCGGGGAGTGTCTGTGCGACACAACTACACACTGCCGCTGACACACTAACTTGTCACGACACACAGTTTGGAAACCTCTGCTGTAAGCCCGTATATGTTCTAGGCCAAGCAATTCAGACGGTTGTATGCAACACAGTTCTAAGGTGACTGTTCTACTCCTGCAAGGATTTCTCCCTGTGCAGCAGAATGTTGTCCCCGTCATCCTCTAGCACACCCCTTAGATAGGTTCCAGGAGTTCCCCCAACCCTCTGGAGCAGATTTAGGAACTGCATGGGGGGAAAGGGTAAAACCCACAGTGCTAGGGCTAATCCCTGCACTAGGGCAACTAATTTGTTGCCTAGCACTCATTATCTCCAATCATTTTTCTTTACTCCGACTACCCCATGGCAATATATACAAAAATAGCAAAAAATACCTCTGTAGTACCAAGAAATATATTTATACTATGTACTTTTAAATATACAGCCACTTTTTTTAGAAACACTGGGTTTGGTGGTGAGCAAAGCAATGAACCCTGTTTAGCATTAATGCCTCAGCTAGTGCAATTTCCACCATTACTACTCTCAAACAACCCCGATTCATGTAAATACAATTCTCTGAAGTACAGCATTCAAGGGCTTGGAACCCCATCCATAGCAGTGATTGAGAAATAAGGTTTCTGCCATAGCGAAATTCCACAAAGATTACATAATTCAGATGATCAGTAGTTTTGACATATATGTTGCCAACAGCATAGTATTTCAAAGTGTATAAACTATGTCAATGAGCTAAGCAGCATTTCAAAAAATGATTTGGTATGAGGGGGTCATACCTAAGACATATGAGAACTGAAAGTTGCAAAGTATCATAATCAGTTATGGCAGTAGATCTAATTTCATTTTCTGACATCTTTCTTTTTAAAAAAATAAACACACTGGTGACAAGCAAGAATGTTACTAAACAATAGCAAAGGTTATGAACCTGTAAAGTCATCATATGTGGAAATTAAAACTGGATTGCTATCAATCCAATGTGAAGGACAGGAATGTGTTCCAAAGCTACCCATCAGAAAGCAAATGACTCAAAAGCACAAGTGCAGATATGGAGCTGGAAATACATCTGTTTCTAGCAGGAAGATCATACAGTGTTACGCCAACGTTTTCAATTAATGGACCCATCCGAGAGTTGCATGTTGTTTTCTTTGTTACCTCACAGCACAAGCCTAAACCAGAATGAATCGCTTTCAGATCAGTATATAAATATTTCATCCTAGTCTGCATTCTGCAGGTTCAGTTGCATTTGTCTTGTATGTTCACAAAATTGGCATTTGACTGGATCCGCTTGGCTAGAAAACGAAGGAGAGTGTTTTAAATCCCACATCTCAACATAAAATATTCACATATGAGATCCAAGCCAGCAGACACTACCAAACAGTTCCCACAAGCAAGATCCTTCTAAGCAGGGCTGGCCTAAGACATTTCAGCACCTGAGGCAAACCACAAAATGGCGCCCCACTCCCCCACAGGGAAGAAGGGATGGGTGAAGATCTAGAACATGAGAGGAATAAAGATCTACATTGGGATCTGCTTTGACTCTGAGGTCACGGAGTTAAGTAGAACAGTACTGGGGTGCATTTATGCAACGGGTTTTCAAAATACACCTTCTACATGCTGATCAGTTGACTGGATCTGATTTTGGGAAACAAGTTAACCCAACTAGACAAGATTCCAGTCTGGTGACATTTATGAAAATTAGGTCACTGTGCCCAAAAATGTCTCAATGAATATGACTCAAAGGCTGCAGCAAATTTTGTTAGTGTGTAGTCAACCTAGCCAAAGCCACCTACTATGGCCTCAGACGGCATATCCCCTGGTGCAACCATGACCTGCAGGCATTAAGCTCCTGAACCATACCATCCGCTGCCTTATAAAAAACAAGAGGGGCTTGCTTCATTATCAGCCATTGGCTACTACCATCTGGCCAGCCACTGAAGTCCAAGGGTGGGATTCAACTAAGTTGTTGCCTGCATGGAAGGATGTCTGCTTGTGCAACAGGACTCCAACCCCCACCCTGCAAACCCATGCATGCCCCCCTAAATCTGCTCTGAAGAACGGGAGAAATGCAGAATAGGTTTATTGTATTTTAGTGTTTTGTTGGCAGCCGCCCAGAGTGGCTGGGGGGACCCAGCCAGATGGGTGGGGTATAAAAAATAAATTATTATTATTATTATTGTTATTATTATTATTATTTAGGGGGTATGCATGTGGGAAGAAGAAAGCTGAACAATCTCAATGCACCATGGACCTCATTCTGTGCACACACTTAGTGTTATGCTGAATTCCACCCCGGTGCTTTGGCTCAGAGGGGTCGATGCAAACTCTCACTGCTCACACCAGCCTTCTGGCAAGAAAGAAAGGCAGCCAGATCCTAAGGAGCTTGCTTGGTTCAATGCACCTCCACTTCCACCCACACTCCTTCACTGGTGTCTTGGTTGGTTTTCTAAGTCACCCAGGGGCACACCAGGATGCCAGAAGGGCAGAGACACTGGTTTGTTTTCAACTACGTCTTACTCAAGAGTAGATCCATTGAAATTAATGGACTTGAGCTAGTCGTGAATGTTAATTTCAACGAGTCTACTCAAAACAATAGTTAGTTGGCTACAACTTCAGGTCCTAATTATTCACATCTGGCTGGAATGGCTGCACTGCATGTGCTGTGGGTGCAGCCTTGTTACAAAAATGCAACTTGCAGGCGATCTTTTCATCACCACTGATTCCTTTTTAAAAAAAATAAATTAATGAATTGATTTTACTTACGCAGAAACAGGATACGTTTTTTCTGCTTCGAGTGAAGGAAGCTGCTGAGGTAGAAAACAACTGGCAAAAAGAGAATGAAGGACGAAACTGCAATCACTGGCACTGTATCACTGCAGGGGACGGAGCAGTTGAAAGTCATGCTCCAAAGCCTTCGCGTAATATTCATCTAGAAAGAAGGAAACTCCAGGTCTTAAGTCATCAGGGAGAATCATCCGCATTTGTGTGGACGCAGCCACGAGCGGCAGCATGTGCTCTGCCTCATCCCATCCCCTTCCAGCAGTGCTGATCGGAGGCTAGGAACGCTCTATTGCAGTTATTAACAAACCAAATTGAGATTGAAAGGCAATAAAACCTTAAATTTTTACATTTTAAAACATTACAGAAAGGACAGTGGGCAATATGAAGGAGTAGGGGGCGCGTAACATGAAATGAAGGGAAGGAAAACTTACTGCATCTTCCACATCAATGCACAAATGGGCCTGCTCTTCAGATTCACCTTTCTTCTCACTCTCCTGCATCGCGTTGTACATGGCATTTAACTTTTCATACGTGACATTGCACTTCTTGCATACTTCTGTGTAGTTACCTGGTGGTGCGTTGTCCTCCTGCCGCTATAGATTCAACCAGGAAATTAAGTGTTACAAAAGATGGATATGGAATCCAGCAGATTCTTAAGCATCACACAAATCGAAAAAAAATAAATGAAAACTGGCTCAGGTTTTCAGATAAAGGCTTCCCAGATTACACCAAAACCAGTCTTTCTCTGCCATGTCCATTCATAAAACCAGAAGGGAGATGAAAATAAAGCTTTAGCTGTCTGGGTGGGTTTGTTTAACTCTTTAATTTGGCGATCCTGCAAGGCCAACCAGATCCCATTAATATCAAAGGCAAGGATCTGTGAAAGTCAAATCCTTCCAATATTGTTTATTCATTAAGTGAATGTATGTTTTGTGGTGGCTACTGTATATAAGCTGTCTGGGTGGCTCACAAAACAAAAACATTTGTCATATGATGGTGTCCAAAGAGAAAATGATGAGTCAGCTTAAATGAGGGAAACAGTTAAGTTAAGACAAAGCTAGGCAGAAAAGGCAGACGAAGGAGACATGTTGTACTTCAAAATGCACTAAATAGAGGCTTATTTGCAAGGCTCTGGGTGAACTTCATTTGTATGTTTTCAAGCTGTCAGTTTATCCATTTTTGTCCAACTTGTGCTATTCTTTTCATTTACCACCCGCTGACAACGCTCATTATTCAATAGCTACTGACTATTCCAACATAAATGCAAAGCAGTTACGCTAATGACTGTACATCAACAATAGGTGGCTTGTTTTGGTATCGCAGAACCCATCACAACAGCACATTTTAACATTTGATACTTGGATCATCGATAAAAAAAGAAGAGAAAAGAGACAGACAGGCATGCACTGGAAACTCTCTACATTTTCCATCAGTGAGAATGTGATTGTAGACAAAGAGTAGCTACCAGGATCTTATAAACACACACAATCTTGAGCAGGCAACCAACATTATGAAGGCATAAGGCACTAAGCACACTTATCTGGCAGTGCTTTCTAAAGAAAGCAAAGGGAACTTATTTCAAACAAGAGTTTAGCAGTAAGATGTAGCTGTCAGTTGAAATAATGACATGTATTTGAAATCTTAAATTGGAGCTTTGCTAATCATTGCAATCCTAAAGCGGCCATACTCCAGGTATACATTCTTTCATGCCAAATGTCTAAAGTACTATGCTCTGCACACCTAAAGAGATTTTGGGGAAGCAATTCTCCAACACCTCTCCTCCACAAGGTGCATGGCAAAACACTTTTGAAATGGAACAGCCTTTGCAAAGCACTGTTGCATGACTTGGAGGTCAGCTCCTCAAAGGGTAAAAAAAAAAAGGACCACATGGAAAATACAGGGAAATGATTGGATAATGGGATTGTGTGGGTGCCCCATGAGTGGAGGAACCATGGCAATTCCACATTAATTGCCTAGAATGCTATCCAATGTTAGCCATACTCAAAACAGACCTACTGAAATCAATGGACTTAAGTTAACCAATTTCAATGCGTCTGTTCTTGAGTATGACTAGTGTTGAACAACACCTAATTGAAAGCCAATAAAAGCATTTTAGTCTTGTGGCCTTAATTTTACTATCATGTAAACAGCTCCATTGCTATCAATTACGCTATTTATTTATTTTGTGCTGATCTAAATTAAAGCTTAGGGTGGAAAACCAATATAAAACCCTAAACCTGGCTGCACAATTGCACTGAACTTAAGGTGGATCATTTTCTAGAAGGCAGCCATTGCAACATCCCAATGATACCAGATTAGAAAGATTTCACGACTCATTTGCAGACATGTTAAAACCCAACTTTCAAAAATGCATTCAGTTAAATGTATTCAGCTATGGATAAACTCATACTATAACAAAACAACAGAAAACCCATATAGTTAAATCAAGAGGTGACAAGGCCCAGAATAAGGAAAGAAAGTGATTTACTATATGCAGAGATTACACGACTCTTCCTATATAATTACCAACTATTGTGAGACCAAAACAGCGCCATAATTGCATATGAAATGGAGGTGAACATTAATTAGAATGCATTTTGTTCTCCCAGTTGTGAACACCTGCGTTTTATAGATAATTGTTCTACCTGCCTAAACTGCATAAGAGTTTGAGAATTACATTCGCCGCATTTTGCTCTGAAAAAAAAAAGCCCACCAAAAACATTTTTACTACACAATTAGAGGGCTCAACTGTACCCTTACATAAACAGGTACTGATACCTGGAGGTTGTGTTCAAAGCATGCCAATGATTCATTGAATAAGGCCAGGAACATCTCTGTACTATTCGATAAGCCTTCACTGTTGTTCTTTAAACAACCTGTGAAAGAAGACAAATGTCAATATATCCCAGCAACTGCTTCCAGAAGGTTGTTTTTGGCTAAGGGATATTCATATTTGAGATCTTGCTCATTTCTGCTTTTCTTTTCTTATCCATACATTTTATTTTCATACCGATGCTCAAATTCACAGGTAGTCTAAGGATGTTCTCAGATGTGGATGATTTAGGAACACCCAATCATCACTGTTCTCCTTTAAGTTACAAGACAAATAGCATCTCTGCTTGCAGATTTTTAACACCGTTGCCAAGTAGGTGGTCCTCCCTTTCCCTAGCCCAAAATGTTGGACTGGGGACAATTGGGAGTGGGACCATTATATGGATAGGGAGTTACTCTCTCTTCATTGCATATTATTAAGGACTTGGTTACTCCCAGGACAGGTAGCTTGAAAATAAGAAATCAGGTAAATATGCACAACGCAGATATTCAGCAATAAAGTAGACAGAGTACATACTTGCACAGTTTGCTTTTTGCCATGTGTCATTAAAAAACTTATCCAGGACCACAACTATCTGCAGTCTATCCGACATCAAGAGACTTTTGGCACAAGGGTTACTCTTGGTAACATTCTGAAAGGGACAAAGAGAGATTGTTATACATTCATATATACATATACATATGCATATACATATACGTATACGTGTGTGTGTGTGTGTGTGTGTGTGTGTATTATAGTCATTCGGACCATGGTATCTTAACAAGCAACTCCTCCAAAGTGTACACAGAGGAAATAACTGAAGATGACTCAAAAAAGGGAGCCAACCTGCCTCTTGCAGGCAAGGAGAAATACTCCATATAATACTTTAATTATGGGACAAGAAAAACAGGACAGCAAAAGAAAGGAAGAAACACGAACAGCTTACCCCAGCTGGGTGCTCCCCAGATGTTCTGGATCACAATTCCCACCATTCTTGACCGCTGGGCTGGGACTGATGGGATTTATAGTCCAAAACATCTGTAGAGTACTGGGATGGGGGAGACTGAGCTAGAATGCTGTTTTGACTATAAGCTGCCCAAATCAGTCTTAAGTATATTCTAAGGAGAACTCTGGAATCTGCCTTATACCAACCCAGATCTGTCTAGCCCTATGTTGCCTTTGCTGGCACCACCTCCTCAATGTCTCAGGCAAAGATTTCCCCCAAACCTGTTGCCTGAGATTCTTTCAACTACGAACTGAACCTGGGATCTTCTAAAGCCAGTACCTATGCTCCACCACTGAGAGACAGGCCCTCCACGAAGGCCCTACAAACAGTGCACAAGCAGAAAAAGGGAAACTTAAACCACTGACTTTAGCTTACATTACAATCCAGAAACCAGCAAAGTTGGAGTGCTAGGCTTAGACTGATTTAATCTTGTTAGTTTTGGTCCATTACACCTACTTGGCAGCAGTTTAAAAAGTTTGAGGACCTCAGCTTAAGGGTCTGTCCGTATCAGCTCATATTTGTGATCTGTCACTCACAGCAATTCCATTTCCCATCTTTGGTTGTTCCTGCTTAATATTCTTAATCATGCTGTTCATTTGCCATTTTGTTGTTCTTTTTATGGGTTTGTATGGGTTGTTTTATTTTATATGTTAATTATTATGTTTTATATGGATTTGCTTTGTAAGTGACATTGAGGGAACTTGCCAAAAGGCAGGGCATAAGTTAATTTTATTTACAACTTTCCAGGTTCAAATTGCTCAGAGTGGAAAAGATTATTTCAGATGGCTAAACCTGAAATTTCCATAGGCTGAGTTTTCTCGATCAGGGCAATAATCAAAAGGGTGAACCCCCTACTAGCATCTGCATTAGCTAGACAACATTCTCCCACAATGGTCTGCCTGGACACTGTTATAATAAGCACCTAGGAACCAGAGAGAGCACCTTTTCAATGACTGCTTCAGTGTCCTCCCCAAGAAAACTCATCAGGCACCCACTGTAATTTAGATGGCAAATGAAAACATTTTTATTTTTTCAGGTTGAGGCAGGCCTGCACAACTTGTGGTCCACCCAAGCTGCATACAGATCATCAACCATAAACTGTGGTCTGACAGGTACTTCACATTCTGGTCTGGCAGTACAAGACAGCACCAAAAACAATTGAATCCTTGGTGGGACATCCTACTGTAGATGACTGTTGATAATGATAAAATAATCGTAGCTAATAAAGAGAAGTTATTTCTCTTTAAGCAGCTAAATGAGCTTTTATGGCTATTCTGAGGGAACTTTTGCTATTAATTTTTTTATTGTTCTTTTTCATTGCAGATTTTAATTTATTTTTACAAAAACATTAGAAGGGCCTGCCAGATCAGGCCAATGACCCATCTGGTCCAGCATCCTGTTCTCACAGCGGCCAACCAGATGCTCATGGGAAGCCCCAAAGTAGGACCTGAGCATGCTACAGTGGTACCTCAGGTTACATACGCTTCAGGTTACATATGCTTCAGGTTACAGACTCCGCTAACCCAGAAATAGTGCTTCAGGTTAAGAACTTTGCTTCAGGATGAGAACAGAAATCGTGCTCTGGCGGCGTGGCAGCAGCGGGAGGCCCCATTAGCTAAAGTGGTGCTTCAGGTTAAGAACAGTTTCAGGTTAAGAACGGACCTCTGTAACGAATTAAGTACTTAACCCAAGGTACCACTGTACTCTCCACACTGGTGATTCCCAGCAACTGGCATTTGGAGGTATGCTGCCTCCAGCAGTAGAAGGAAAACACAACTATCATGGCTAGTAGTAACTCATATTCTTATCCCCCATCAGTGTGTCTAATCCGCTTTTAAAACCCTACAAACTTAAAGCCAAAGTACAGTGGTACCTCTGGTTCTGAACTTAATTCGTTCCGGGGGTCCGTTATTAACCTGAAACTGTTCTTAACCTGAGGTACCACTTTAGCTAATGGGGCCTCCCGCTGCCGCCGCCGCACAATTTCTGTTCTCACCCTGAGGTAAAGTTCTTAACCCAAGGTACTACTTCCGGGTTAGTGGAGTCTGTAACCCGAGGTGTTTGTAACTTGAGGTGTTTGCAACCCGAGGTACCACCGTATCAACATACAGTGGTACCTTGGTCCTCAAACTTAATCCATTCTGGGAGTCCGTTCGACTCCCAAAACCATTCAAAAACCAAGCGCGGCTTCTGATTGGCAGCAGAAGCTTTCTGTGCTCAATCTGAAGCAGTGGGGGACTTTCAGCTTCCAAAAAAACTTGGAAACCGGAACACTTACTTCCGGGTTTGTGGCATTCGGAAGCCAAACCGTTCGAGTACCAAGGTACCACTATACATAAATACTTCATGATTTTAACTTGTTAGCTGCTCTAGGAATTCTTATAGTTGATGAATGAGGTATATATTTAGTAAATAAAACAAAAGCAAACATCCTGCAGAGGTAAAGTCCTCCAAGAATTACACTTTTCTTACTGTAAGGAAATGTAAAATGTGGCCTTACAGTTAGCTGTGATCCAATCTTGCCTCATCCACAAGTCAAGAGCAAGAACCTATATTTACTTTGAAGAGGAAGAGTTGCCCTTCCACTGTGGAAGAGGTCATACCCTCTAAGGCAGATTTCCAACAGCAGAAGTTGCAGAATGCACACACAAGTACTCAATCCCAAATCAATATTTTCCATGTGTTCTTCTCCCCAGTGAAGTGATTTTTCCCACATGTGACTGACTGAAATTCAATGACAGAATTAGTCAGACCTATACTTCTTTTCCAGCTATTACAGGCCACTTCTTGTTTCCTTTCAAGTGGCTGCTGAGCCAAAGTAGTGACTGGTCTCTTCACAGACAATATATAGAAGAGGCTAACAAAACTACAAACATTTTCCAGATACAGACAAGTTTTCAATAGATTGTTCTTGACTCTTATTTCAGATCCTGCATAACTTGTGTCCCACCAAACTGAATATAGCTCAATGGTCATCTATGATGCCCCACCAAGGATTCAATAGCTCTCCTGTTTTTGTGCTTGCCTGGGGCTGCTAAAACAGAGAATGTGAAGCATTCAACAGGCCACAATATATGGTTGAGGAGAAGTACTTAGCTTGGGTGGGACACAAGTGGTGCAGGCCTGCCTCAGATTTTCTGTGAAAAAGGAAAGCTGCAAACACATAGCTTGCTCATGTGTGCCTTAATTTTGTGTTTGTATTCAGTCTGTCTTGCCCAGCTAGTTGTCAAATCCAGCTAGTCCACTAAGCTGCAACTGGTATACCTTTTAACTCCATCAGGCACCATGTATCAGCATGAGCAAAAATGAGTGTAAGGATATAGGTAAACATATCAGTTTGCAAACCGGAGACCTTCCCTCCTCCACTTTTAACCTTTCAAGGTAGAAGAACAAGCTGCTACTGTTCTCACTTCATAGTCCCTGTAAAAAGCAGGCCTCTGGTTTCATCCCACAGCAACCAGGGAGGAGGCCCCAGCTAAGCCTTCAATCTTAAGTCAACTTGTATGGGCCACCGAATTCAGTTAAAACTTACTCCAGAAAGACATGCTTAGGATCCCACTGCCAGAATACTTCCCCACTGTTACCGTCTGGGAGAACTTTCATTCTGGGAACTACAGTATGGGTTGCTGTTGGTTAGTTGTTTTTTGTTTGGCCAAAGACAAATAAGTTTCCAATAAGCCTACAGCTTCACAGAAAGCAAGAGGAACTCCTTATTGCAACCCATCAGAAACACTCTTTCCCAGAGGGGAAACCACGTTTGTCGTAACAGCAAAAACAAAAAAGCTAAAGCGTTTTATGGCAAAATCTCCCATGGGCTCTTTTTGAGACGCCACAGAGGGTTTTTAGTTGGTTTATCAGAAGCGCAAGACACACTAGGAGACCCTGGAAGCTCCGTCCCCGCGCCCACCTGCCCCAGCCCTGCCCCGTCTTTCTGCAGCAGGCGCTCGCGAAAGGCACGCGAAGGAAAACGCACCCCGACGACCCGGGCGATGTTCTCGTACTGCTCCGTGGCGTCCCGGAACTGGCGGTAGCAGTTCTGGCAGAGCCTTACAGGCCGAGCGCTCCGCGCAAGGCAGCCCGTCAGCGTGGCGCTGCTGTTGGCGAAGGCAGCCAAGAGCTCCCGGCACTCCGGCTCCAGCTGCGCGTCCAGCAGGTCCCCCGCGAGCCCCGAGCCCAGCGACGCCAGGTCCGCCGCCTCCAGCAGCTCCCACGACAGAGGGCGGCGCCGGCCTCCCGAGGCACTTTCCTCCCAGCCGCTCCCTACGGAGCACAGGCCCAGCAGAGCGCCGGGAAGCAGCAGCAAGAGCGCGGCCGGGCCCATCGCCACCGTCACCCGCGCCGCGCCCGGGGAGAAGCGGGAGGAAGAGGGGAAGCCGCCCTCGGGTCCTGCCTGCCGAACGCCGCCGCCCCTTGCAGAAGCGAAACCAGGTCACGTGCAACAGGGAGGTGAGCGCGCGCAGGGCTGGCGGGGGGGGGGGAGAGAGGAAGCGCTGTCAACATTCGGGAACGGGGCCCGGCGCGGCGTCTCATTGGGTGCTGGGGATTCGACGCGTCATAAGGTAGGAGCGTCAGCCGCGAGAAGGGGCGGGGCCGAAGGGCGCAGCGGGTACAGCGAGAATGCGCTGGCAGATTCGGAGGCGGGGTTTGAGGGCTGGCGGCTTGTTCGATTGCGGAGGGGTTTGCTGCTCCGAAAGGCGATGGGAGCAATAGCTATGTCGGCACCTCAATGCTAGTAAGTGTGCGTGGAATGGAAAAGACGAACTACAACATCCTTAAGTTGTCTGGGACTAAAATCATAGCATAGCATCATGGGCGTAGCCAGGATTTTGGTTGGGGGGGCAGGCCTTTTGTGGGCGGGGGGGGGAGAGAGCCGAACCTTAGTTTGCTCTGTATTATATTGATTTTTATTGATGGGGAGCAGCTACCCTTGGGTAGCATCGGTGCATACGCGTTGCAGAAAAAGTGATGGGGTTTTTCTGGAGCACTTCCTTTCCGTTCAATTACAATCAGAGTGCCAACTTGAATAAAATATTGGAGGGCCGAAGTAAGCCTCCCCCTGCATAACTGATCACAATGCATGCCGCGCGCACACCATTTGAATGGCAATGCGCATTAACTTGTGGGGCAGCCCCCCTCAAATATTTTATGGGCTGGGCACAGGGACCTCAGTCCCTAGGAGTTGGATCCTATGGTTACAACAGAAACTCGAGGTTCCTTCATGTTTTCCTCTGAAGCCCTCTTGGGATAATGGAATATCTCGCTGATCTCCAGGGGAGGGGACTGTAGAAGTGGGGAATCTGTGGTTTTGGCTGTGGCAGGTTTGGCATTCTTTGGTATAAGGGGTGTCCCTATACTATCTGTGTCTATAATATGTGGGATCTTCCCTACCTTGAAATGGATCTCTTTCTGTATATTCCTCCACACCTGCTCCAGTCATCCTCTTGAGGCCCTGCTCCATGTCCCTGCCCCTGTGAAACACAACTGGCAGTCGCAAGAGCTAGGGCTTTTCCTGTGGGGCATCTTGGTTTATCTTTCCTAGAATCATAGACTGTTTGGTGTGTGGAAATTTTGTTGTTGTGGTTATGGCTTTTTCTTGTAATATATTGATCTGATGATGAATGGTGGGGATTGCTATGTATTTTAATATTATGTGGTGTGTGGATTTGTTTGGTGCTTCTTTTGAAAATTATTTAAAAAAAAAAAAAAACATACCCATCAGTAAATCCTATGGAACTCAGGAAACTTGGAGTTGTAGCCAACAAAGTTCTACTTAAATTTGTTATTGTTCAGTCGTTTAGTCGTGTCCGACTCTTCGTGACCCCATGGACCAGAGCACACCAGGCATTCCTGTCTTCCACTGCCTCCCATTGTTTGGTCAAACTCATGTTGGTAGCTTCGAGAACACTGTCCAACCATCTTGCCCTCTGTCATCCCCTTCTCCTTGTGCCCTCCATCTTTTCCAGCATCAGGATCTTTTCCAGGGAGTCTTCTTTTTTCATGAGGTGGCCAAAGTATTGGAGCCTGAGCTTCGGGATCTGTCCTTCCAGTGAGCACTCAGGGCTGATTTCCATAAGAATGGATAGGTTTGATCTTCTTGCAGTCCATGGGACTCTCAAGAGTCTCCTCCAGCACCATAATTCAAAAGCATCACTTCTTTGGCGATCAGCCTTCTTTATGGTCCAGCTATCACTTCCATACATCACTACTTAAATTAGACCTACTGAAATTAATGGACCTAAGTTAGTCATGTCAATCAGTTTCAATGGGTCTACTTAGCACTGTGGGCTAGCACTGGTAACAGCCCTTAAAGGTAAAGGTAAAGGGACCCCTGACCATTAGGTCCAGTCGTGACCGACTCTGGGGTTGCGGTGCTCATCTCGCTTTATTGGCCAAGGGAGCCAGCGTACAGCTTCCAGGTCATGTTGCCAGGATGACTAAGCCGCTTCTGGCGAACCAGAGCAGCGCATGGAAACACCGTTTACCTTCCCGCTGGAGCGGTACCTATTTATTACCTCTGAGTAAACATAAATAGAATTGGCATCACAATTAAAATGCATCTTGTATTGTTTAAAACATGGTTCTAGAAAGTTGGCAACCCCCAAGAAAGCAGAGGCAACAGGGTCAACTTGTGCATTTGGCAACATAGTAAGTCAATGCTTGTTTAGAACATTTATGTTTATGATATATTCATTCTATGGTACATCTAATATTTTTAAACATATATTAAATCTCTTAAATCTGTCATTTCCTTTCATTTTAAAGTTAAGTGTCTGCAACCCAGACAGGCTGAAAATTTACCATAATAGATGAAGCTTTGCAGTTGTTCATCTAACAGTAACCTTGATACCAAGCCAAAATGTACTGTAGTTAGCAGCTGCTTAGTGACTGCATACCGGAAAGGATACATTTGTTGGTGTGTATGTGGAATGGTATTTGCTTTCAGAGGCTGAGAACAAAAAACAGGGTAGAGGCTGTAGATGCAAGATGTGATAAGCAATCTGGACATTTCTACTTAACTCTAGCCCTGTGTAATTGATGTTCCCATATATGTGAGGAAGACAATATTGAGACAGACTTGTATTTTGGCAGTGGATTTTGCCATTTTTGCAACCTTATGACATTCTGGGTCCTCTGGGGTAGGACTTTTCTCTTCATCCCATGTCTCAATAAAAACAGTTCTCCCTCAGTGCCAGTTTGGAGAAGTCTACACATTAAAACCCAAAGAAGCAACATGTCTCATGCCTCTCCTTTTCTTATTTTTGCTTACTACAAGGAGCCCTGGCCAGGATCTTTTCTTTGTGAATCACCCCATCCTTGGTATGTGTGTGACTGAGGGCTAGTCTGGTTGGGCAGGATATTTCCATCCTATTTATATTATTCTTTTTCCAGGATTCCTCTTCATAAGGGAGAAGACACCCTAGCTGTGAAAAAGTTCAGTTAGAAAATAAAGCTTTTAAACTTTAATTGTTGTTTGTTTGTTTATCCTTGCACCTTTGCATTTCCTTGCAAAGAATGATCCTGGGCTGTGTGATGGTGATGGGTTTGATCACATGGAAATCTGTTTCTTGGGGGCAGATATCCACCATCACAAAAATATGTAGCCCCTTCCCTCTGGTGAGCCTACCATGATAGTAGAAATAAATAAAATCACAAACTGCACTGCCAAACTCTGTTCCACATCAGGACATGCCCCATTCTGTACTTATAGCAAAACTCTCTACAAAGGCTTATTTTTAAAAGGACTATGGGATACCACAGTATTTAATGTTGCTTCATCCTTCTGCCAACCTTGCCTTGATGCGAGACGAAATAATGCAGAGTCACCTGTGTTTGATCCTCATTCATCCTCTCACTTTGATTCAAAATGTCAACAGATAATAAAACGAAAACCTGTAAATCTGCAGGAAGAATTCCAGATCCATTATCCCCATTGCCAAGAAGCAGATTTTCACGCAATATCCATCTGCAGTTTGCACTTAATTCATTCAGTATTGTCAATTGCTCACTTTAATTAAGCACTCCAGGTGTTTTTGTGGATGGTTTTTTGCAGACAAGAATCTTCACAGAAGTTGTTGTCTTAAAGCTGCATAAACCGTTAGTATGGTATGCAAGGTCACAATGTATCCTGAGTTCTGAAGTATTAAAAGTGTGATAAGTTTGTGGAACTTTAGGCCCTGATCCTGCTAAAGTTAGTTACAACTAACACCACAAACTTATGCATATTGACTCAGAAATAAGTCCCAGTATATTCCCATGTAAGTTTGCACAGAATTGTGACCTAAGCCTTATGGAGCAAATGGGACTTGAGTTGCATGACCGTCTTGATCCATTAATTAACATGGGATTTCCAGTCCAATTTAATGCTCAATTTGCATGTAACGCTAAGTCAAATAATGGCTTAGCACAAATATGTGAGTGTGCGGGCTCCCAGAGAGATTGCAGCCACTTTTCCTCTACTCCAGTTGCTGTAAGCTAAGCCATGGTTTGACTTTGCATGCTTTTTGAATCTAGTTTCATGGTTTACCTCTTTCAGACAAACCATGAATTGTAAACCAAGGACAAGCCTTGGTTGTGCTTCATGGTTTGTCTGGAGTAAGACAAACCACAAGCTCAGGTTTGGATGACATACCAAGCCAAACCATGGCTTAGCTTACAGCAGCAGGACCGGAGAAGAAGCAAAGTGGCCATGATAGTCCTAGAAGCCTACACACTCTCATGCATCTGTGCTAAACCATGGTTTGGCTTAGCATTAAATGCAAACCAGGTCTATTGTGTTGTTTACTCAGAAGTAGCCAGTTTGTATTTGCATTGCAGCATTAAATGAAGTTTATAATAAATAAACAAGTCCTGCTTAGTTCAGTGATGTTTGCTCCCAAGTATGTATCTTGGGCTTGGGTGTTATTTCGAGGGTTTAGTTGGTGGTGGGGAGTTGTTACTGTTGGTCATATCTTTATTTTAGATCTTGTTGTGGTTTAGGTGGACATTGTTCAGTTTTGTTGTGTATTTTTATGCTTTTAATTATTGTTTATGACTGCTTTTGTTATGTTGTAGTTATGTATTTTTTCATGTTGTAATTATGTGTTTTTTCATGTTGTAAGCTGCCTTGCGCATGGTTTGAACTATGGAAAGGTGGCATGCAAAATATATGGTCTTAGACATAACTAAGTTGGCCCAGTGTGAAGCTTTATTCTTTAGCCATTGGCCACCGCAAAGTTCTGTAAATAATTGTGCCACCATTCTCCTACCTATGCGCTTCTCTCTAGGTCTCAGCTATTATAATTGAATTCATGAGAATGTGCAGAGACACTTGTATATTATAAAGTGAATGATGATGATGATAATGCAAAATATTTAATTCCTTGTGATGCAGGTTTAAGTTTGACAATAATGAAAACATATGTTCCAGAATGAACATGACGTGGCTAACTTTTGATATGAGTTTTTGGAGCAGAATTCAGATATTATTGAATAGTAATATTTGACTCAAGTTTTAATTTTGGGAAGGAACAGTAGCTGGTGTGTGTGTTTTGGTGGGGCTGGGTTGGGGGCTTTGGGTTTTTTTTAGCACATTCTAATGGAAAAGGCATCTGTAGAAGCTGCTTTTTGCCTTGAAAATTTACTTATAATGTTCTTTGTAAGCTGAACACAATAAAAATGCTATTTAATGCACCTGTTGGCTCCCCCCCTTGAAAAAAATAACAAGGATGGGGGAGTATGTTGGTGAAAGCATAACAAGGAATGAGTTCAGTTTTAATAAGCAATCATACTATTTTGAAAAGAACCCTCTTGTAACAAGTTTACACAATTTTGAAGGAAAAAGATTTTTTATGTCTGAGCAATTTAGTGGTATGTCATTTCTAAGGATTCTGACAAGCTCCCAGTTGCTTTTACTCATGTGCTTTTAATTAAACCATAATTGTGCCATGCGTTATAAAATGAAAGAAAAGCTGTTAAACTGGATATCTTTTATGACAAGAGAACAGGATGATCCTTCTGAAAAGAACAAAACAGTATTGAAAAAAGGAATAAAAGCATATTCAAAGCAAACATTATAGTACGGGATACCACTCTTTGACTGGCATAAGTTCAAGATGCACAATTTTAACTGACAATAATGTATGCTCAAAAATCATATACACTTATGAACTCTTTTTCAAAAGCAGTTTGTACTGGCTTGTCCACTATTTTTCAGTAATTACTTGAGCAGGCACAGGCACAGTACGACAGAAAGGGATTTTTCCCCCAGTATGTGCAACTTACAAGAATTACAGTACTTGCTGCTTACAAAACAAGACTGCTTGGAAAAGTAATGATCATGTGAAATTTGTCTTCAATGTGATACATTCTGCTTTCTGTACACTTTATTATTGCCATTGTTGTGGTTAAGCCTCTAATGAGGTGCTCTACATGTTTTTTTTTGTATAGAAAATGGCCCTACCTGAAAGTTACAATCAAAAGAATAATGCAACAAGAACAAGAGAAATGGTTGGGGGGGGGATTGCATCTCAACAGGAAGAGCATGCCAAACAAAACAGAGAACCAAAAATGATTTAGAAGGGATAAAAGAACCCAAAGAGTAAAGGAACTATGAGAATTCATTTGCATTCATATGCCCCTTCAAAGAGGAATTGTTTCAGATTCCTCAGTAGCAGGATAAGGTCTGCTCCTCAGCACAACTCGCCTTGGTTCCTCAACTAGAGTGTTTACAGCACCTGGATCAAATGTTGAGCCCTCTATGTTTTGAGATAACTTACCACAAGACTGATACAACACTCGCAAATGAGTGTTGTGCAAATCTGATCTCTGCTCTAAACTAGGAAAACAGGTTTCCTCTGAGCTCGAACCTTGGAAGAAATATTTGTCAGCATTCTTCCACTGTAGGTTTGTTGCTCGGCAGACACACCCTTAGTGGTGCCATGATATGTATACCAACTGTATCATGACAGCAAAGAAGAAAGAAGGAGAGAGTGTATTAAAACTTTAAAACAAAGAACATCTTAAATATGGAGGCAATATTGTGCAACTAAGGAAGAGAAAGACGTTTCTCTTCGTTTGGCATGTTCAAATTTATAGGGTGAAAAAATGTGATAAGCCAAAGAATTAAAAGACAAAAATAACTGTAAAATGAGATAAGGGCAAGCCAACAAGCAAGAATGATATGACCCAGTCAAGCTATTAATGAAAGAATTAACTAAAGAACCATTAGTGGGGGCAGGGAGTAAAGGGGAAATGGAAAGAACAGCTCTTAGCAATGGGAGTATGAGTTAATAAAGAAAAGGAAGAATTTATTTTTGAAATACAAAATTATAGCGGAACTAGAGGAAAAATCACCAGCAAAGGACAACAAAACAGAGGGAACAGGCAAAATGGGAACAAGGTGATTAATAAGAAACTCACTTGCTCAAGGATCATTTGACAAGTATGCATGCCAGTGTCTCAAATTTTGTCCACATTTGAGTATTATTTAGCTGTTAATCCACTTCTTCCACATTCAAATCAGAATGCAGTAGTCCATTAGAAAGTTGAGCCAACTTTCACCTGACCAGACAGAAGTCTTTCCCCATCAAATACATTGCAATGTACCTTACAATACAAATGACAGAATACATTACACGCTACCAATTAAAACATACTTTTGCATAAACAGGATTTATTCATTATGAGGGTAAATCTAAACAGATGGGCTTCCATTCAGCCTCTGTGGTAAAATAAATGTGATAAAATTAATGTTCTCTCATTAATCTGCATGTTGCCCTCCACCACCACTGCTGCCACATTCATAAAATTTATTTTATACCTATTGATGACCCATTCCATTCCTGCCCAGGCATTAAGATCTGCAGGGAAGGCCCTACTCTCATAGTCCCACTGCTAAGTGAAGTTTGGGGACTAGTAGCACATGAAAGGACATCATCTACAGCAGTGTGCCACCTGAGGAATAAACTTCCCTCAGAGATGTGTACTGTACTAACAACCTTGCAGACTTTTAGTCAGTTGATGAAGATTCACATCTTTGCCCAGGCTTTGCAGGGTAGGGCGAAATCTGAGAACTCAGTATGAGGATTTTTGCTGCTGCTTGATGTTTCGTTTTTAAAGATGATTTGTGATATTTTAATTGTATTTATTGACTTATTGGTTTGTTGTTGTTTTATACTCTTGTACTCCTGCCCTAGGAACAGTTGAAAAGGGCAAGAAGGAAGGAAGGAATTTCTCTGGGTGAGGGCCAAGCCATGTTTTCCCCTAAGCAAATTACAGCTACTAGTTAAGGCTAGTTAATTTCCACAGTCTATTACTTTCTCACAGTGCATACATTTGGAGCACCTCAGTCCATTGGCAAGCACTCAGCAGTCACTTTTATCTATTTCTCCCACCTGTACTGAACCCATTATAAGGATGGTAAGTACTTGGATCCTCCTATCTCAGTCTCCCTGTTTCTAAATTGCCTGCTATTACAGCCAACGGATTGGCCTGGAAGGTCCTCATGGTCAGAATTTGAAGTGATCCATATGCACATGCCAACTTAACTTTGGGGCATAACCCTGGCTAGAGAACCTTTATGTGGAAGGACTGGCCAGCTTTCCAGATTATGACGTCTGACTATTGGGAAGGTAAATTCAAGTCATTTCATGATCTACAAAGGGAACTTGGTTTGGATCACCTGCTTGTGCAGCATCTGTGCCCCCATATCTCCTGAATGACTTAGATGGCTTACTGGTTCAAACCAGACTGCCAGCCTGTTTGTAGACTAGACACATCTTAGCTCCATGAAGAGTGGAATAGAGAACTGGAGCATGTAGCTCATTCAGCCTAAGCAGTGATCCACTGCTCTATCAACAGGTCCTTACTTGACCTGAGGTTGAATCTCATCAACAAAAGTTAATATTCCAGAAGTATTGAATGCCACAGAGGTTTCATCACAAATTATTATCCCCTTCTGATTCATATAATGTAAAGCTGCCCAGTTATAAGCTCCCTTCTGGGTGATGTTTTGGTAACTACAAATTTGATAAATGGAAACCTCATTGCATAGATGTGCATGATGTTTCATTTTACTATAGTCCTACTCTTTCGAACCTACCTCCAGGCCATGAACTATGGATCATGTGCACTACAGGAACAGCTAAGCTTCTCTTAATCCAGGATTGGAAAGAGAATATAGCACTTTGCCCACAATAATGGGTTTATGATTTTCACTCCCTGTTTGAGTTGGCTAACTTTCTACATTAGCATAAAAAGGACAAATATGAATATGTTTGGTCAGCTTTTCAGTCATCTCCCAGCCTCCATTCCCCACAGCTCCTCAGTAAATGAAAGAGCAATGAGGACTCTACAGTACCACAGAGATGACCCTCACCATCCTGTAGCAAGACCAGGACCTCAACAGGATGAACTGCTAGAAGCCACCAGAAAATCCCCCCCAGAGCATTTAGGAACCTATCTGGTTCCACTAGCGTCCAGGGGCAGACCATCTGCATCAGTCCCTTGCTCAAAGTGTCATGCAGATGCCTCCCAAGAAATGAATAAGCAAAGTGACTATTCCACATTAACTGCCCACTCTGAAAATAGAGATAGTTTGTATTGGAATTTACCGAATATATTGCTTCACTAACAAAGAATGACCATGTTGCACCTCCCACAGAACTGAGGGGTGAGGGGAGCTTTCCATCTGCCACACCTTTTTCCGTGTCAAGGTTAAGTGAAGCTGCTATTTCCCCACAAACAGAAATCCTTAATGAACCACAATTCAGACGTGTATCAGTCTTTGAGCAGTTCGTGGCTCGGCTCCACCCATCTTGAGAATTACAAGTGGCCTTGGGACTGTTAGATCTCCTTTTTACACCCTCTTCATGGAACCAAAGTTCACAGGATTCCGTGGGAAGAGGGAATATTAAACTTACAAAACTGTATATCTGATTCATCCGAGTGATATGCGAGAGAGGAAAATCAAGTGCACTCTCGGAAAGTATTGTTGACAAACATGATAGTGGGCAAAGAAGAGACCATTCTAATTCACATTTAATCACACACACAAAATTAAGTTCCCAGAAGGACTTCGTCCCCTTGCCTGCTTCTTTTTAAAAACCGTTCCTTTTCAACTTTGATCCACTTTCTATCCTCTTGCGTTTTCTCGTCTGAATATGAAAAGTCCATGAGCGGAATGCATAATCAGTTACGACCGATCGAGATAACGAGAGCGCGTTTCCAATTTCTTCCACGAGGGGTCGACTTTGGTTCTTGTTTTCCCCAATGAGCTTCGCAGATTTATTCATTTTTACGTCTTCACCCCACGCACCCTCCTCTTCCCACATTCTAAGAAAAATAAAATAAACAACTAAGTTACTGAAACCATTACTGCTTCAGTCCTCGTCACTAGAAGCCAAACGTTGTAAAGTTGCAACTTGGCTTTCGGTCTCCTGTTTTTTTTGTATACCAGACTAGCAATATAACTTCCTGATCCGCTGGCGCCCAACGAGGGCTCGATATTCATCGATAGGGATGAAGAGAAAGAAGAATCTGATTAGCTGTACATGTATTTCAAAACTTGACCAAATTCATGTTTCCTTTTCTTCTTTACAAAATGCATATGCAAAATTCATACGTGAAAAAGACTTGTGGGAGAGGCCAGCGGGGGTGCGTGGTAGAAATTTGATCCGATAGCCGCTTGGTTTAAAACTGAAGGACTCTCGTTATTCAAAACTGTCCTTTAGGATAGAATTATCCTCTCCCAGGCCCCTGAGCTTTCGAAAATCTTCCGACATCGGTTTCAGAAGAAGGCAAACAGACGCCCCGGTTGTTCACTCTGCTGCTAGGATCGTGAGCCGTACGGCCGCCTAAAACTGAGCTCGTTTCTTGCAGCCTCAGAGAGTTTTAGCTAAAAATGATATTTTGCCAGCAGTGCCGCAAAATAAAATTTAAAAAAATCTACCCTGAAAGCTGTTTAGCCGTCAGGTCATGCCGTCCGCGTGACGCCTACATCGCTCCTCACATTTCCCCCTCTCTAATAGTGCACCATATTTCTTCTCAATGAGGCTTACTCCAAGGTAAGTGGGCATTGGATTGCATCCTCAGTGTCCAAATCATATATCATCATCATCATCATCTCAGCACCTGTTTGGCAAAGAAGCTTCCATTAAGTGTCATCTCATTCTCTGCCTGAGAGCCAGCTCATTATACTAGAAAAGTTCGATTTCATCCATGGACTTTAGGGGAGAGGGGGCGGGGGAGAGAAACACGCTAAGATTGTAAGATTTACCAATATTCCTTTAAAGGCATAGTCTGCCCGCTTCCGGGCTCCTGCTTTGCCCCAAATCCTTGTCTCTCTCTCTCTCTCTCTCTCTCTCTCTCTCCAGCCTCCTGACTTGGGATTTGGCTGACACGTTTATTCGTGAATTTCACTTTCGCCGCCACAGCCAGCAGTGGAGATTCCCCCCCCCCCCCGTTATTTTCACCGAGACTATATTAATTAAAAGAAATACATGATTAAAAAGTAATGAGTTGAATAAAAATTATCTCCGCTCATTTTCTGATTATGTTAATTGTTAAAAACCCTTCAATCACGCTGTTGCAGTCAATGGGTTTTAATGTGAAATTAGTGGGCTCTTGATAACTTACAGTCCAGAATAATCCTGGCAGTTTAGTCATCATTCCTAATAACGAGGATGTTGCTAGGACGAGAGATTTCTACATGATTTGGCTGCATTAAGCCTTCCCTGCCCCTCCTCCCCCTACATCCAAGAGAGCCACGCTCAAGTACACAACTTTCTGCATATTGTTAACCAGGCAGGCTGAGTTGTGCTTCTGTCAAATGACGGAAGAGTCGCCGTGCATTGGCAGCGACAACAGCAGCGTCCCTATAGCGGGTGGCAGCCTATGAGATGCATACGATGAAGCAGGTTCTGGCCAAAGGAAGCCTGGATCGTCATAAAATTGGCGAAGCCCCATCTTATGCATGCTTACTCAGAAGTAAATCTAACAGCGTTCAGTTTGCTTACCTGAGTAAGCATGCACAGGATTGCCACCCTCGTCCTTAGATGATTGGACTCTCTGCCTAACCTTCTAGAGCATGAGACTCTTAATCTCAAGGTTGTGGGTTTGAGCCCCACATTGGGTGAATATTCTTGCGTTGCAGGGGGTTGGACTAGATGACCCTCGTGACCCCTTCCAACGCTACGATTCTATGATTATGTGAATCGTTCTGTGTGAGATCTCGTCTGCACAAAATGCCAAGGGTCGATTAGCAAAAAGGAACTTCACAGCCCATTAATATGGTGCGTATTGTGCAATTGCTTGATTTCGGCTGGATGTCTTTAACTTGTTGCTGTTCCGATCATTTGAAGCATTTTCATATCTTGGCTGCAATCCTAAACTTACTTACTTTCTTAGGAAGGAAGTCCCGCTGAAACCTGTCCATCATCGAACTGCTAGGTCCTTCACAATCTCAGAGAGAGAGCTGTAAGAGACAACAGAGGTGCTTAAAATGGAAGGGTGGAAGTACAGTACACAGTCGTCCAATGTTTTTCATGAGGAATGTCAGAAGACTATATGCATCTACGTAAATCATAGCTGTCAACTTTTCCCTTTTCTTGCGAGGAATCCTATTCGGAATAAGGTAATTTCCCTTAAAAAAGGGAAAAGTTGACTTCTGTGACGTAAATATGCAGGGGCTTTTTTTGTATGTGTGTGTTTGGTTTCGTTTCTTTAACCATTAGTGGTTTTAATTGGCCGCACAGGTGCCAGTTAGAAAGAGTTCTTTCCCCCACCAACTTTGACCACAAACTGATTTTGCCTCATGACTAATACACGTATTGTGCGTTGGGGGTATTTTGGACACACCAGGGGTATGGGTCCTCTCTGACACAATCACAAATGCCAGAATTCGAGAAAATAGGAGTATATGCTCATCTTTAGGAGGCAAAATTCCATAACTTGTGTCAAGAAGAAGTAGTCAAGGATGTGAGGCTTCGATGAAGCCAATAAATTTAATTAGTGTCTGACACTGATGGGTCGATTTATATACCCATTGTCCTCTGTGAGACGCATTTTCTTGTTCGTGCCTTGCCAAATTCACTCGCTTGGTTTTTGTTTTTAATTGATCTTATGAACCTTTAAAAGGGAGGTCCCGTTATATGACTTGAGAGTTTTGAAGGAGTCAGGCTGCTGATTAATAAAAGGCGATTTTGTGCTGATCTACAGGCCAGAGAGAGAGGGACCATATATCGGTGGGCGTTGGGCGCAGGGTGGAAAAGAGGAAAGGTTGGAGGCTTGCTTAGTTGCTCCTGTTTCTACTCCGCCCAACCACCCTACAAAAGTTTTCTTGGATGGTTTTAACCCAGCCTGACGCTAACAAACTAGCAGGATATTCTAACGTGTGCACGAGAAACGAATGGGGGAAGAGGCAACGAGGCCCTCTTGCGTGTAATAACTCTCTCTCCCCACCCTTCCCGGTTCATTTTCCTATTTGCATCCCCAGTTAACTGAAGATCGTGTTAATAAATAACAATGAAAGGGAAGCGCTTCTATCTAGAGGGCTTGTCGGCAACATTTAAAAAGCCAATAGAGTTTATAATTCTACTCTATCATTTCTTATTGATTAGAGTAATCAAGATAAAAAGCTAGCCGGGCTCGGCGAAGTTCAGTAGCATATCATTAAAGATAAGAGTCAGTTAATTCTGGAGCCAGGAGAGGGTGGATGGTGCCTGCGCTGAAGAGTTCATTTGCATGAGATGCTGAGCCCAGTAACAAGAGGACAAAAATCACTAATTAGGGATTGCAGAGTGCCTCCCGCGCTCGTCAAGCACCCTTCGGAGAGCTGCGATGATGCAAAGATCGCACTTTTATGTAAATCCGGGCCAAGACACCGCAGTCGAAAGGTTGCCTATAAGCAGCGGTTCAGTCTAACAAGGACGAGCAGCAGCCCAAAGATAAGAGAGAACACCTACCACGCGTGTGGAGGGGGATTTTGCCTTGCTAAAAGCTCCACCTTCCTCGCCTTGCTGTTTTTTTTGGGGGGGGGGTGGTTTAAAGGTCTACCGAGCTACCCAATTGTCTCCGTTGTTTTGAAATCTGGCCCTCAGCCATCCTTTCACACTTAAAAAAAGTGTCAATTACAAAATAGTTTCTGTCTATTCTACGGATGAAGCACCGGACGTTCAGTTTAGCGAGGCTCGGAGCACTGTGGAATCCCGCAGCCTCCAGAAGTCTCGTTTGCATCCACCTACTTCAAACATTTGCTGCTGGACCGCTTCTGCGAAGAGGTCTGGGTGACTGACTCCAGGCGAACTTTGTTCATCTTTGTCTGGTAAGGAGAGAAGAGAACTGGATCCACTGCAAACAAACAAACAATCCCACCAAGCCTTTATTCCAAGCCAGTTATTTCTGAAACAGATGTATGTATTCGATAAACTCTCTCTATGTCATGCCAACGGATCCTTTCAGTAAAGATAGACACCTAACGCACACACGCGGGAGCCCAAACTCCAACAGGCTTTAGAAGCTGCCCAAACATTTCCGTGCATGTTGGAAGTGATGTTATCAAACTCTTCGTCAGATAAAAATGTGAGATGCATCCCTGCGCTAACAGCAAGGTACTTCGATGCAAGACAGCATTTAGCCCTACACCTCGAACACGCTTTGATAGAATAAGAATAACAACAGTAGGGATAACAATAAAAATAGTTGTTCATCCATATCACATTCTTTCTACCTTCTCCGGCGTAAGAAAGAGGACCATCAAATATGGGTCATTCGAGTTAGCCTCCCTCTGTCAGCCAAAGTCCAAACCACGGGATAAAAGTTAAAGCCATCCTTTCTGCTAGGAAAGGAAGCAGTAGTATTTTCTGTGTACTGTAAAGTGCAGACAGTAGGAGAAATCGCTGTCTCAGAATTGAGACGTATGGGAATTGTAGATGCGGGACAAACTTCACAGGTCTTGGCCTCTACTAGGACTGTAAGGACTTTTATCTGAAATTTGTGGGGCTGTCTTCTGAGTACATGTATTTCCTATGGGAAGTTTAAATTCTTTTCTGATAGTAGATGGTAAACAAGACTCACTCACTCACTCCACCCCGCTAGAAAACCATCAACATGTTTAAGAAAGAAAACATTTGAGATGTCTCCATTATTCTTTTAACGCACGTGATTATTGCACGCTACTTGGGGATGCTTGCCTAACATAGGGCACCCAAGTATGTTAATTGTTAAGTAATAAGTTGTTCCCCTTTAATACAAAGTTATCATCTATGTGGGTGGTTCAATTCAGTTATTTTTTTAAATTGCTATTAAAACATTGTCCTTTTTTAATTTAATGTAAATAGGCGTTTCTGATAAACCAAATGTGCTGCACCGTTTAACAAGCAAAAGTTTCTTATTAAGAAAAGAAAAAGATCCATGGTCTTTTCATAATGGCATTTCCCCCGTGTAAATAACACGTCTAGCCTGCAATCCTATACGCACTTCGGTGGGGGTAAGGCCCATTGGACTAAACGCGGCTTACTTCTGAGCAGAGATGCAAAGGATTGCTCCTCAAAGCCCTTGATCTCCTCGCTTTCTGAAAGCGCAGTCCACTTGGACAGCCTCAAAAGGAGCGAAACCCCTGGATTTTATGGGGACCACAAGGAAAACCCTTCTCTCCGAGATAGTTTCAAAAGAATGGGAGGGGGGACCTGATCATCTGCCCACAGCTCGCTCTCTCTCTCTCTCTCTCTCTCTCTCTCTCGGACCTATGAAGTTGTTTACTTGTCTCCACCAAGCCCTCCATCATTCAGCCCAGCGCTTGGCAGCCGGCTCTTTAGTGCTCACTTCGCCCCTTGCTTGGCCGCGGAGTAAAGGAATCACACCCTTAGATTGGTTAATTGTAGGTGTCAGCGTGGAAAGTGGCAATGTTTGCCGTCTCTCTCCCTCTCCCTCTCCCAAGTCTCCGAGCGGCTTCTTCCCCTCCATAGCCCCCTCCCGGCGACCCTCTTTCTGTCTGCTCTGCCTCCATCTCCTCCTCCCTCACAACCTCCCCCCCCCCAGTCCCTCCACCACCATCATCACCCGCGGCAGCACCAGGCTCTGGAGGTCACCCGAAATGGCAGCTTGGTTGGGGTCCTGGGAGCCAACCTGGCAGCCGTGGGCAGGCACCTGGTTACACAACCTACACGCAGCCTATTCAGGGGGCTTATTCCCACCTAGGGGCGTCGAGGATCGCAACCTCCAACGACCACTCCACACCAGCGCAGAGACAGGCAGGATGCGCCCAGATGCTTCTGTCTCTATTCCAGCCTCGCAGGCTGGCCTCCTTTTGCCACCCGCGCACCTCGCGCACGCGCAGTTCGGACTTCTCGCCGCCTTCTCCACGCACGTCCTCGCAGTTCCTTTTCTCTCTCGGCCGTCCGTGTCCGAAGAAGCCACCCAGATATAACTGACCAAGTTGCACCCGGGGCTTCCCTTGACTTGCGATGCAGGCGTAACCGGCCGCTTCTTGCAGTCCCGTGCGCTCCCTTACGCGCATATTTTATATTGTGATTTTGTGTTGTGAGACCTGCGGGTATAGGGCGGTGTACAAATTTAATGAATACAAATAATAACAGAGGCACACCCCTCACAGGGATGGTGGCAACCTAGGAGACAGCTGAGGGGTGTGTGCTGCGCTTGAGGCAAAAACACGCCTGTTGTGTGGTGGTGGATGGAAATGTCTGACGGAAACACAGTCCCTCTCACACACTGCCAATTTCTTCTTCTTCTTCTTCTTCTTCTTCTTCTTCTTCTTCTTCTTCTTCTTCTTCTGTCCAGGCACTTTTGAGGTGACATGCAACTTCCCGCTCAGAAGTGCTATCTCAAGTAAACACTTCGCCTCATTCCAGTGTATTCTCCCCATTTCCCCTACTGCTATACGGGTGAAGAACAAAACAGACAGAAGCATATAAGGGGGGGGGGTCGCACAGACACAGGCGTGATCTTCCTCCTTGTGACGTTCACACTACGATTACCCACTTTTCTCTGAATTCATTGGTACACACTTTCACACCATTTGCCATGCACTCGTTCATATGGATTCTTATGATCCCCCTTCCCCTCACTTTTATTCTCCTGCTACCCTTCGGTCCAGCACTCCTAACATTTTCTGTGTAAAGGTGCCTTTTCTTTTCACTCTTTCTCTCTCTCTTAACAGCACAGGGTCTTCCGCCTTTCAACTGTTCAATTATGCCAATGCAATTCCTCTGAATAATGCGCGCGCGCACACACACATTCATTTTGTTTCGTTTCGTTCCATGTATTCTAGCCACACAAGCGTACTCTCTATATATATCTGCCCCCTTTCCCTCTCTCGCGCACACTGAACTCTCTCGCTTTTGCATCACACTCTTTCAGCATACACTCATTTTAATGAAACATTCTCTCTCACAGTCGTCTCCTCTCGCAGAGGAATATAATTTTCGCGCTCGCGCGCAGGACTTTCCCGCGCTTTTCCTTGCAGGTTCCCTTCTTTCCATCCTAAAAGCACGTGGTTTCTGAGGTGGCACTCAACCCAACAGTGGAGTAGTAGAACATTGGTCGCCAATACCAGCACAAGTGGTCGCCAGTACCAACAACACACATACACACCGAGGTCCCGAGCTTGGTATCACAGTTTTCTTCCTGTCACACAAACACTGACATTCTGAGGAGACCCTCGGCTTCTCTCTGAAATAGAAAACAGTATCAATCCTACACGTCCTGACACACCGACATACAACTCTCTCTCTCCTTTATTACATTCACACACACGAGAGAGAGAGAGAGAGAGAGAGAGAGAGCGCCTCTGACACCCATGCAGAGCCGTTTATGCCATTATAAGCGAGGAGGGGAAGGAGGAGGCTGAGGCTGCGGGCGCTTCCATTTCTTCCTCCGAGCTCTTTGGGCTTTTTTGTCCTCCCCCCCGCACCTCCTCGCCCTTCCCATACAGAATAAAGTCAGTCTGTATTTAATGGTTATGGCGGATGTGAGGAGGATTTGGCAAAGGGAGAGGCCTTTTGCTCTCAAATATTGCTCCTTTACGTCGTGTGAGTCTACCAACCCACCACGACCCCATATTCTTCTCCGGGTGTCTGACTCGAATGACAAACGAGCTGATTTTTTCACTACATCGCTGGGAAATGTAGTGGGTGATAATAGAGATTTCTCTTTCATTTTTTACGCTTGACTTGGTTATTGTTGCCTTTCTTTTCCCGTGATTCCTTCTGAGGATTAGCTCTGACTTCCCCACTATTGGCGGTCAAAGTGGCCCAAACTCGGGATGACAATTGATGGGGATCAAGGGATTGCCCATTCTGTGCCTGTAAGGGCTGATTTGTGCCAGAGAAACTCATCAAGTGCAGGCGAAGAATGGAGGGGAGCGAGGGGGGAGCATCTGGGGGCAAATGTATTCATTGAGCCGGGCTCTCTCTCAAATTGCTTCGAAGTTTCCCTCATGAAAAAGTAACGCTTGCAGCAATCAACGGCTTTTTGACGGATTACAAACTCGGGTAGGACTGTAGGGAGCTGATTTAAGGAGGGGGGCGAGGTGGGGAGAAGAGAAGAGCCCCCAGCTTTAGCATGGGGGCAACTCGCCCACAAAAGTAAAAGGACGAAGGGTCAGTCAGCAAAACACAAAGCTCGAGGTTCAGATGCGTGTAGGAGCAATGAAAGGTGCATTAATTTATTAACAGGGTGCAAGGAGTGGGGGGGGGATCATTAACTCCCTACTCCAGGCACCCACCCAAAAGATGGCATTTACATTAAAATAGTAAGAAGAAGAAGAAATAGGAGAGAGAGAGAGAGAGATCTGGGCAGGGAATGAAGTGCTGGACAAAGTTCATTAAAGCTGGGAATTTGGAGGAGGGGGGCCGTGGAGAAAGCTGACTTTATCTCCAGTAAGAGCACAGTTTCGGTAGAAGACAGGGGTCCGCCCTTAAAAGAAAGTTCCCTCTTCCATCATATTTCTGTCTTTTATATGCATGACACTGAGGTTCTTCTCCAGGCCTGACTTGAGTGGATAGGAGACCTGCAATCACTGAACTTTGGTCAACCTGGAGTTCACTCATCTTGTTGTTGCTTTTGATAATAGAATGCGAAGAAGAGACAAGAATAATAATAGTTTGAAATTTTTCTTCGGCTCATCACAGGGCCTTCAGGAGTCTCACATCCCAAACCTCGGATCCGTCCCTATCCTCTAAAAACAAACACAAAAAAACCCTTTCCAAACAAAACAAAACAAAACAATTCCTGTGTTGTTTGATAGGGAACTCCAGGAACGTCTACCCTTGAACATTAGCGACAAATGAAGAGAACGGAGGAATCTGACTTTTTCGGCTCCGTTGAACTGAAGCCTTAAAAAAACAAAACAAAAGCAAGTCTTTCCCCGCCCCGTCTCCCCCCTCCCCCCTCCCTCCCCCCCTTTCTCCTTTTCACCAATTCCCTGACAGCTACTAAGCAAAGAAATGGCTGGGAGTTCAGAGAAAGAAAAGTCTCCCTGGAACTTTGTGACACAGAAGATATGTTGTAATTATTCCATGCAGATCACAGTAATCAAAGTTGTCAGAGAAAGGACTCGGGTTCCCCCCCTCTCTCCCCCCCCCCGCCTCCCAACCCCACCCACCCCCTGCTATTTAGTCTTCCTTTCCCCTCTCCCGTCAAGTTTAGCTGTTTTCTCCCTCCTCCTCCTCCTGACCCATCATTTTAAAGTCCCAATCTTTAAATCCTCCTTTGATTTGCCTTGTTCTTATGCCCGCTCCAGACACTTTTCTTCCCACCTCTCAAAATGTAAAAACACATTTAAAAAGATGCTTCTCGTCGATTCGATTAAATAGAGGAAGGGCGAGAGACCGAGGGAAGATGTTAATGGAAAGAAGATTGCCGAGGAAAAGAAAAGCGCACATATCGCTGCCTTAAAAAAAAAAAAAGAATTAAAATTTTAAAAATCCTTCAAAATGAAGAGGTGGAGAGGAAAGGAGGGGGCAAAAGGATCCTCTCGATCCCCTATTTTGTTAAACTCTCCCCAGTCCAGGAATGATTAACTCCCCTCCCCCCCCTTTGCCCTTCATCTTGTCAATGTTATCATGGCTTTGAAGGGAGGATCTTCAAGGTGGCACATTTCTGAACTTAACCTCTTTTCCAGCTAACTCTCTACCTCCTTGTTAGTGCCCGGCTCTGAACTTCTGAAGAGTATTTTTGTGTGAGTCAGGGTTCATTCACTCGGGCTCTTTTGTAGGACTTTCTTCCTTTCAGCCCTCAGTGTGTTACACCAATTAAAGGACGACGTGCTGTAAATGTAATGGGCCGAGGAGTGATTGTTTTTGACAAGCAACAAAACACATAGATCCACCCCTTAGATTAGGCCGTTGAAGGGGAGGTTCAGGCCGGTCAGTTTACTGAATAGTTCATGAACTGTAATTCTGAGGGCTCGTGTGAAAGAAAATGTCTCTCTCTCTCTCCCTTCCTTCTCCCTGTCTCCCCACCCCCATCCCCACATTCTCTCTCTCTCTCTCTCCTAAGAGGAGAAGGAACATCGATGGAAAATAAATGGCAGGGAATGAGGGAGAATTATTTATTTGTTTATTTTAAATAATGCTATATCCCACTTCATCCTGTCATATTTGACAGCCTGGTACGACAGGGCACGGTTAAAATAACTATTCATATTAAATACCAATATATTACAGTAATAAAACATTAGAAACCTCACAACAGATTAGCAAAATAAGAGGCCACAATGACAACTTGAGTAAGCCAATAAAGCAGACTAAACATGAGCATTAAAAATGCCTCTGCAACTATAAATGTTTCCAAGCTGACTGTAATGTTGGAGCTAATAATTGGTGGGGCACATACCAAAGTCAGGGTATGTCCTGAGAAGGCTTTTGTAGCTACATAACATACTTCTCCATGAGGAAAGCACTTGGAGAAAGGCTTCCACTGAAGAACTCAACTCACTCTTAGCAGGTTGATATGGAAGATGTGCTCCTTTCCACATCTCAACCCCAGGCCATTTAGGCCCCTTTAATGGAAAGTCCTAGCATCTTGAAGTATTAAAGGTTCTGGCTTATCAATTAGGTTGAAAAAGATGCCTGGTAAATCACTTTGTTCTCACCACTAGGGAAGACCTTGGTTGAAACACAAGTTCATTTTTATTTATGACCGTTATGAGCCATACTAAGCAGTTTTTGGACACTTGGTCATTCCATATGATTCTAACTTGGAACCCTTTTGCTGCTTCAGACTTTATTAGAGACATACATTGGTTTTAATTTGTATTATATTTAAATATGTTTCATATACTATGACACTGTGTCAGTTTATTAATATTTTTATCCCAGTTATGTTTCAGCACATAATCACACTTTATATACCAAACATGCCAGTTTCATAGAAAAGGATACCTCCAATTTAGTTACTTGTGACCTGTGTGGGTAATGGTTTTTTTTTTAGTATAATAAATATATAGTTGTCATCCATTAGTTATATGTGCAGTCCAGATGAATGGAGTACTTGGGTGGGGGTGGGGGGGTGAAGTCCAGATTCAGCTAGGACTTGTAAACAGTCAGTAAAGTTAGAGCCTCCCACACAGAACTTACCATTAGAGTACATTTCCTTATTCTAATTTTCACAGTGAACCAGTGCACATCCATTTTCTATACTGGAGTAGAAAATGGTTCTCAGTCTCAATCTATACATTACAGCAGCCCAAACTTCATTGAGATAGTTGTGCCAATTTTATATATGTTATGTTCAGAACTGGAGTTATGTACTTGGGAGATGACCTACTGCAGAAGTCTTTAACCTTTTCAGACCTGGGACCCGTCTTTTACACAATATGCATTTGGGGACCCACTTCTCAATTTTTCACCATACATTTGCATAGTAGTAGTTCCTCTCTTGTGACCCACCTTGGATTAGGCCATGACCTGGTAGTGGTTCCTAACCCATCACTTGAGAACCAATGCCCTATTGGGTTTTTTAAGTGTTTAGCTGAGTAAGCAATGATGGAGCAGACAGCAAGTAGCCAAAAGCATATTCTGAAGTTCATACATTGCTCCAGAGGTCAAATGGTACTACTTCTGAGCAATTGGCAACTGTTCTTTTTGTTCTTGCTGTCATTTGTATTTGTATTTATGATTTTGTTGTTCTTGATTTGTTTCCATTCACCCCATCTTAATCCTCACAGCAAGTGAGGTAGATTATGTAAGAGCTATAGTGACTGACTACAAGGCTAGAGAGCTTCATAACTGAGTGGGGATTTCAATCTGGGTCTCCCCAGTCCAAGCCCCAAAAACTAATCCAGCCTTCGTCACCCTTGTACTTCTGATGTTTTGGACTACAACTCCCATAAACCCAAGTCAGTCCAAAACCTGACTGATACTTAAGACTTCATCTTCCATCAACCCCAGCCAGTTAACGTTGAACTGTTGTAGCCCAAAATATCTGGAGGGCACCAGGTTGGTGAAGGTTGTTTTAACCATTCCGGAGAACCATTCCTGCCACCATAGATTGGGTTTCATTGGATAATTTAGGTAAGTGATAAATTTCCTGGTAGATAGGAGTCATGGTCTCCCCCTTTGTCATTGGAATAATGGAACTTGGGTGCAGGGCAGAGTGTTTGGTTCCCTCCAAGTATATAGGGATTGTTCCCCCTCCAACTCTGATAGCATTGGGCTTTGGAATGCCACAAGACCTGGGGCAGCCCTTTCCAGACACCTTCATATCTGAGTCATTGTTGAACTATTATGGGATTACAGTTACAACTGATGCAACCGTATATTTAGGAAGTGCTGTGCTAACTCTTGCTAAAATGTTCTCTCTAGACTTAATGGCTTTCATAAAAAAACACACCATGTTGCTGGCTTACCACTGTCCCTATTTCTCCTTTTTATCCTCATGGAACATTCCACAAAACTATTAGGAAAATCTCACAGGAAAATGTGCTATAGGTAACACATACGCACACACAAATTACAGGTACTTCCGCATTCTACTTCCTGTATCTTATCTTCTTCATAGCACTGAAGAACTTTATACACTTTCCCCTTTTTCCTTCTGTTTGCACAGCGAGAAAAGAGAAGAATAGTCCAAGGTATGCAGCTCTCTGTAGAAAACTTGAAGACAAGTAAACATTTTTGCCAATCTCCTAACCTTGCACCCTCAACCATTTTCTTGGGTCATAGCCACACACACGAAACCAGTAGTTAGTGCTTGTCACTACCACAAATCAGCCTTCCTACTTTGCCTTTGGATCACTTGTCATTGGGTGGGTGAAATGAGTGTCTCAATTCCTCATATAAAACAAAAATAGCAGTTCAGCAGTAGTGTACAGTACAACACACAGGCATGGCTGCTGGAGATGTGGGAGAGGACTTCCTCCTGTGGTTATGCCTGGATTACAGAACTCCTTACTTCAGAAGGTCAGTTTGGCCCTCTTTCTCCTTGCTTCTTGCTGCTTAAATATATGCATATATAGCAGGCATTTGACCAGCTACATTCAGAATTCTGCTATGGATGCCCCTCTGTTTTTGGTTTTGCCACTAGCATGCCCGTTTCTGTTTTACTGCTGTTTATTGTTTTTTGTTGATTATTTATTTTTGTTGGATTTTATTGTATGTTGTAAGCAGCCTATAGTATTGCAAATGCAGTGGAAGGGCAGGATAGAAATAAATTTAATATAGTGGTTATTTGAATAGGCCAGGCACAGAGGCTGAAGTTAATAAACTATTAATAAAAGTAAGTTTATTGGGAAATCTGGTCAATTGGCATTCCAAACATAAAAGCAGTCTAAAAAACTCTCTCCCCACTTAGAAGCAGGGTACATACCAGTTTAAGTTGTGAAGTTATTAACATTCACTTTACAAGTTATAGGGAAGACCTGCAACCTCCATGATCCTCAGAATATATTAACTGGGGGGGGGCACAGAGCCACAAACCAGGAATTTTATTCTGTGATAGCATATTCTTCTCCAAAGAAAGTTCCAGGTGACATCTGAATCTGTATTTGCAACTGCAGTGAATCACTTCAAGCACAACTCACAGGAAAGTGGAGTCTTCTCTTTAAATAGAAATGAATGACTTATCCAACTTGTTGACAGGGAGCAAGGATGATCATACAAATGCTTAGAATGGCAAGAGACAAAGTTAGTGAAAGGCTGAACCAATATAAGATTGAAGTAAGCCACTTACAGTGTAATCCTATACATGTCCACACAGAAGTAAGAAGACCCATTGAGCTATGTGAGGTTTACTCCCAGGTAAGCGAGTATAGGATTTAAAGTTGAAGTGTTGAACTGTTAGTTTTAACAAAAAGGAGCAGCCTTATCTAGTATTAAATCAGGATAATTTATGGTTTTATTTCCAAAGGATATATATCCTTTCCCCCTAAAATGACTGGCAAGGTAGACTTCCAGTGCAATGCAAACATGTGTTCAGCATGACATGCTCCTAGTTCAGTATGTATATGACTGCAGTGTTACTTATCCTTTCCCCAGCAATTAATATTTTTAGGAAATGTATTTAATTTAATTTAATTTTTACTTTATGGAAGCCCTAATGATTGTGAAAATACTTTTTGGAAACAATAACAAGCATCTGTAAAAGGCTTTATGATCTAGCTTGTGTGTCCTGCCCCAAAAGTTTTCAGATTCTACAAAATGTCATGCATTAGATTCAACATAAAACATACTAATGAAACATGCTTATGGGAAAAAAGAGAAAAATGATCTGCTAGGTCTGTTACATAAAACAATACAATCTGTTAATTTGTACAATTTGGTTTGTCTACAGAACCTGAGCTTTATTTAAGACAACAATGTCCATTGCAGTCCCCTTCATGTCTACTCCAGTGCTTCAGAAGTCAATAGGACTTACTCCCAGGTAAGTATGCAATCCTGCACACATGTACCTGGGAGTAAGTTTCACTGAATTCAGTAGAACTTCTGAGAAGACATGCCTAGGATTTCACTGTTAATATGGGGAAATAATTTTAAATACGTAGTACCATTGATCCTCATACTTTTCTTCCTAAAAGAAACCCAACACAAAATGGAGTTTCTAAAACATTTTTACACAGTTTTCCAGACTAAAGATGTGCACTTATCCAAACACTCAAAGGGAGCCTGATCTGTCATTCTTTAAGTACTTAAAGCTCTCACTAGATCAGTACAATGAATACAGGATTAGGGCTGCAATTCTGAGAAGGTAAACATGCCACTCTGGAGTAGCTGTTTTCTGTGTTATACTCTCTGCAAAGTGACACCCTTGCATTTTGCCTCTCTCCCCCCCCCCCCACACACATACACCCCAAATGAAAAGTTGCTTAGATACAAGAAGCTTGCACAGATGGACAGATAGTGGTGCAGTAAGTCCTTGTCTACTGCATTTCAAGAAGAGACATCAAATTCTCAAGTGTGTGAACTGCTGTAAGAGATACAGCTTGTTTAACAGGGAAAGGGGTGGTATGTGTGTGAGAGAAGGAGGGGGGCAGCTCCTTCCCAAAGAACATAAAATTATTAACCGAGCCCCATGCAATTTTCATATTTGAGAGCCTCATCTCAACCATCAAATAAAAACAAGTTAAAATTATTATGTGAAAACGATTGCATGGGGCGATATTGTGTCACACGGATACTCTCGTATCATGCGGATGCAGTTTGGAAGTGTTGCAGTTCAAAGAGCGAAAAGGGAGGAGAGAGAAACCCAAACAGAAAAAAAGGAACAAAATTCAACCCATTCTTGAAAACAAGTGTCACCGGATCAAGCTAAGCATGTGTATATATTTATAACATATGTGTATATATTTGTAACTGTAGAGAGATGTTTTAACTAACCAGCCAACAAGCTCGGTATTAAGAGAAATGATGTTCAGATGGCAAAATGCAAGTGAGTTTCGCCTCTTATCGCTGTGCTGTCAACATCCAGAGTCCCCTAAGTCCAAGAGAGGCGAGACTGGCAACAGCTAGCTTCCCCCTCAGATTCCAGGTTCAATAAAGATTACATCATGGAAAAACTATGCCATGTAGCCTGAGAATCAAAGCCATCACAATTGGTGGCTGTTTAACTGTAATGTCACTGAAACACATACTTCCCACCCCTCCCCGGTTCTCCACCCCCCCCCCGCTTCCCTTCTCCTTGCTAGTTCACCACACTCATCCCTTCTACTTTTCGTACCATTAAGGCCAGCTTTATTGGGGAGAAGAAAATCTGATCAAAACTGTCGACCGCCAACTGCCGATTTTCAATGGATTCAATAAAGGCCACCTTAACGATTTCCCTAATTAATGGATGACATCTTTGGCTGGAGGAGAGGCGATGTATTCTACTCTGTCTTAGTCTTTGTTAGCCTTCTAATTAACTTTCGTAGGTCACCCAGGTCTCCCAAACCTAAAAGTGAAGAGGGCCATTGTGCTAGGAGCAGTAAACTTACTTTTTTCTGCCTGGGTACTTAAAAGTGGGGGGGATGATTACAGGCAGGGAAAAATAACTCCATTTAAAGTCTTTGTGAGTACAGAGAATACATAGGTCCCTGCCATAGAAAATAATTGAAACACCTTTTTATACCAATATTTCCATGCATAATAAAACAAATTAGCAAAGTCCATCTAACTCCAGATGCATTTTTCCAATTACTTTGAGGGAATGTGAACTCCAGTTAGTCAATGAAAGGGTTTCAGCTTAGTGAACAAATTGCTACTGCAACAGCTATCAGTTGTATAACAGTTGTGGTGTGGCATGCTAAGCAGAGTCTGAATTAACAGCACACACACACACACACACACACATACACACAGTTACAAATTATGGATATAATTTAATGTTTATGAAAGATCACGGTGGAATTATACCATGAAGTTAAATTTGTTCCACTGCCTTTGATGGAATCTCAACTGATTCTGGTTTTTTGAAGTGAAAGTAGAAAGGGCAAATCTTTTTCCTTCAAAAATTATGATCCAACCAAAATGCAAAAGTATAAAGATATTGACCTACATGACTAATTTCTGTATGTAAAATGTATTGACTGTACTTTGCCAGCATCTGCATTTCAGTTGCCCCCCCTTGAATCATCCACAATAATATTATAAATCATTAAATACTATAAGGTCCATCATACCATTACAGGACTTAACGTACTTGAAATGAACCTATTAGGCTGAAATATAGCCCAGGGGCTTGTAGTGTTGCATTTACCTTGTGTCTGGTTGATTAATGGACTAATAGAGCCCATGTGGTATAGGTGATTTGAGCACTGAAATAGAACCAGAGAATTTCAGTCTCAAATCCCTACTCAGCCATGGAGCTTCCTGGATGATCTTGGCTAGCCATTCCCTCTCAGGCTAACCTACATCATAGAACCTTGGGATGAACTTTGTATGCTATCCTAGGCTCCTAGGAGGAAGTGTCTAATACAACCTTTCCCAACCTTGAGTCCCCAGATGTTGTTGGACTACAACTCCCATCATCCCAAGCTAGGACCAGTGGTCAGGGATGTTGGAAGTTGTACTCCAGCAACTTCTGGGAACCCAAGGTTGAGAAAGGCTGATTTAATAAGTAGAATATGAAGCTTGTAGATGAATTTTGCTCTGTTATATAATAGACTTTATAGTTAAAAGGTAAAGGTAAAGGAACCCTGAACAGTTAAGTCCAATCAAAGGTGACTATGGGTTTGCTGCACTCATCTTGCTTTTCAGGCTGAGGGAGTTGGTGTTTGTTTGCAGACAGCTTTCCAGGTCATGTGGCTAGCATGACTAAACCGCTTCTGGCACAACGGAACATGAAAGCCAGAGCACACGGAAACGCCCTTTACCTTCCCGCCACAGCGGTACCTATTTATCTACTTGCGCTGTTATATTTTCAAACTGCTAGGTTGCCAGAAGCTGGGACAGAGCAATGGGAGCTCACACCGTCGCAGGGATTCGAACTGCCAACCTTCTGATCAGCATGCCCAAGAGGCTCAGTGGTTTAGACCACAGTGCCACCCTCTCTATAGTTACTCACATCTAACTCGCACTGAAAAGACCATCTTTATAGTATAGAAGAGTTGCATGCTGTATTTTTATTTATCCATCTATTTGCAAGCCCATTTCCAATATGTAAACAATTGAAGTGGGGAAAACAGCTTCAGCAGGGCTGGTGAGTTTCTACCCAGGCAGAGACTTTGGACAAGTTACAATGGCCTCCCTGCTACCACACAACTCTCAGATTGCCAGTGGCCAAAAGATTGTTCTGCTGCTTGTGGTCAGCAGGGCTGTGAAATATGGGTTGCTTCAAGGTGCCCAGTAAATTACCCATAATATGCTTGCTCATTCCCACTCCACATAAAGTGCTCACTCATTCAGTCCCAATCCCATAGTGGGACTAGTGCTCTTTGGACCTTGCTTGCTGTTTCAATCACCTGAGCTTGATATAATTACTCATGATGGCCCTTCAGGATGAGGAAAAGAAGAAGCAAACTCACCCCCAGTCTTCAGTTTACAGGGGCGAGTTGAAGAAACTTTGAAGAGGTCCAGCACTGAGTCTCCGTCAGGAACTGCAATGCTTAGCATTACCCCCATCAGACGATCCATGTTGCTATAGCTTCTCAGTGAAGAGCAGTCCATGGCTCAGCCTTGAAAGTCCCAGGGAACATCTCTACCTCCGCTGGATCCCCTTTCCCACAAAGGTTCGTACAGTAACCAGGTGAGGAAACTCTGAGGAAGCCCAGTGCCACATCCCAAGAGCATTTTGGTAGTAGGTCTCCCCATTATCTAGTGGGTGAAGAAGTCAGCGGGAAAGCAGAGCAGACAAAACCTCTCATCTCTGTCTTCCCCAGACCTCTGAATTCCTCATCTGTTACCTCATTATATCTCATGGATATAGCTGCTGCTTTCAGCTAAAAAATTTTCAAAAAATCCGTTATGTAGATAATCGCCTCAAACATGTATCCTGACAACAGGATATGCCTTATTCACTCCATACATTGTTTCACGGAAGCCATTTTGTGTTGTTTTGTTTTCAAAAAGACTTTTTAATGGCAGTTAATGAACCAATTGGTCACACAAATTAACCTTTCACAGTCATCGCTGTGCTTAAACGTAGTATACAGAAGCAAAGCAATACCAACATAATCTTATGAACCTTGAAATCAACAGTGCCTTGTACATGATATTATATCCTACCCCAGCACCGTTAAGCAACACATAGACCCAGTATTCTGCATTTGGTAGTTAAGGAGAGAATTATTCTATTAGAGCACTACTCTGGGCTTTAAATGCAGTTTATTTTTATTTAGAAATCTTGGCCTCAATGGTCCTCTTTTATTATCTTACCGTTGTCAGTAGTTTCATTCTCTAAACAATCATTCTGTTAACTAATCAAATTCATACTTGGTAAAGGACATTTTAGAAAGTAGGAGGAATTTGGCACATGTAGCCCTCAGATTGTGGCTTCTTTGGTTATGCTAGCTTCTTTGGATCCCCTAAAAGGTAATGCGGGAGTCTCTGGATAATGGTGCTTTCTGACGTGCTCATGAGGAGCCGACACAAATATGATATTGGCACTTAAGCATTTAAAGCATTTCACAGTGTCTATCACTTTTCTGTAAATATCCCCACCTCCACTACATTATACGTCTTCTGCCACTGCTGTTGTGTTTTACCCTCTCAACCTTTCCCATCTCTCCCAATGCCATTGCATTCATCTCCCCATCCTATTTGCCATTCTTGTCTTTCCATGATGAATTTCCTCCCAGTCTCTTGAACTCATTTCTATTCCTCTCTGATGCTCTCCAGTTTGGTTTCAGACACTTCACTCCAGTGGAGCTGCTCTCACAGAAATCATTAATGACCTTCTTTCAGGGAGGTCAAACAGCTCCTTCTCCATCCTCTTTCTCCTTGATCTTTCCTCCACCTTTGATACAAATGATAAGGCCTGTTCTCAGAGCTATCATGCCCTTCTTCAGCCATAGATTATGCTAGTTGAAGAATGATAATGGTAATCGTATTAATGTTGGGACAGAGTCAATGGTGTTAATCATTGTACTGTCATCTGTCCTCTAAGGGCCCAATCATGGAGACAAGTGAAAGAGAGCTGCTGAAATCCACAGCCCAAGAAGGAAGGCACTGTCTGTCACATCCCTTTGTTGCAGGTATTTCCGCCTTTCTCTCTTTTTAAACACTGTTCTAATTCTTTGGGCTGGCGCAGCCTTCCCAGATATTGTGAACTACAATTCCCATTGTTCCTGTCTATCAGCCATGCTGCCCAGGGCTGATGGGAGTTGTAGTCCAAAATATATGGAGAACAACTGCTTAGGGAAGGCTAGTGTAGAAGGAAGAATGGAATCCCAACCAGGGAGTTCAGTCTTGATTGCTTTGGCAGGTGGGGAAGGCGTGAGAGCTAAGAAACCAATGGGTGGACAGGATATCTAGACTTGAGCACACAGTGAGTGTTAAGAGACCAGAAGCATGTTAAGGCAAGGATTCTATTTGAATGCCACCACCCAGCTCCAGCGAATATCCTTCCTTCAATACCTAAAGATCCTCGCGTTGAAGTTTAGGGAAGCTGAAAATATATTTAGGCTGCAATCCTATTTTTACTTACCTGGGAGTAAATTCCATTAAATTCAGTGGGGTTTGCCTTTGCATAGGATTGCACTGTTACAGGATTAGTTAAAAGGCAAGTAAGGTTATTTAATTAGTTAACAGCTTAGACTACACCGATGAAAATCATCCCTGAAGTTATACCATGAGTCCAGAATATGACAAAGTAACTACGGTAGCTAATTGTTTACAACACATGGCGTGCAGGTATGAATAAGATACCCACACATAGAAAACTAGCATAGCAGGAAGGCTACAACCCTCCTTCCTGACATTTAATATTCTATAAACAGAGAGAGTTTTTTAAATTAAAAAATAGGTAGAGTATTCAAACAGCTTAGGACTGGAAAGTGTCCATTGTCAATTGTAGGCTGGTTAGCTTAATTTCTGTCCTGGGAAAACCGGAGGAAAGAATCATAAAATATAAAATAACCAACCATATAGAAGAACAAGCTTTGCTGAAGCTGAACAAGCATGGCTGCTGCAAGGATAAGTCCTGTCTCAGTAACCTACTAAAGCAGTGGTTCCCAGGGACCCTGGGGGGTCCACACAATGCACCCAGAGAGCCCACGTCCCCATCCCTTGCCTCCCCCTCCAACTATTTTTTTGTCATTTTTGCATGGCAATATAACAAATTTTATTGTCTGTTTTAGCACTGTGTGACTCTTCAATATATTGGTCAAAATCACACCGCAATAACGATTTTGACCCAGCAATGCGCAGCAGCATATCATTCCTCATGCAAGGGATAGCAGGGCAGCGGATTTCAAGGATCCTCCGATATTGCATGATGATATCAGCCGATAGCACTGCTGATCTGAGCTGCCTTCCTTCACGCTGAGGGAAAACAAGGTAGCCAATTGGGAGGTGCTGCCTTCCCCTCATGCTGATGGAGAACAAGGCAGCTGGTTGCCCTCACTTCAAGGCACCATGGCACTACCTTCCCCTGGCACTGAGGCAGAGCAGCTTTTCTCAGCAGGACAGCAGCAGCAGCCACAGTGTCCAGTGTCCAGTGCATCTTCGCTGGCTGCCTCCGCTGGCTGCTGTCCCCCTATCCCAATCCCCTCCCACTCAAACCATGCAGTGGAGGTGACTCCACTTTGTCTCCTTCCCCCACCCATCAGATTTCCATGTCTGCTCCTTCCTTCATCTCCACACCTGGTCTCCAATTTCAGACATCAGGATATATTGGAATATCATGATGTTTAACTGCTGATATATCATAATGTTGAAAACCAGATATCACTCAGCCCTAGTCTGTTTTTTAGTAGTTGTACCTTGGTTCTCGAACGTAATGTTAGCAGTCATAAGAGGAAAGGTCCTCTTGTAGATCAGGAACTGGTTATATAACAAGATGCAGAGAGTAGGAATAAATGAGGCAGTTCTCCCAGTGGAAGGATGTAGAAAGTGGAGGTCCCTCAAGGGTCAGTAATGAGATTATTTAATGTTCATAAATAATCTATAGTGAGGAGTAAGGTGACCAAGTTTTTTATGATACTGAATTGCTCAGGGTGGTTCAGAAGTGATTGTGAAGAGCTCCAAAAGGACCTGAGAGAATGGATAGTAAAATGCCAAATACAATGCAGTGTAAGCAAGTGTAAAGTGATGTGTGGAGGGCAAACAAAAATCTTAATTTCACATATACACTCAGTGGATCTGAACTGCTGGTCACTGACCAGGTATGAGACCTTGGGGTCATGGTATATGATTCAGCCCAGTGTGTGGCAGCTGTGAGAAAGGCAAATCGTATGCTAAGGATCATTAGAAAAAGGGATTGATATCGGAATGCCATTATAATAAATCTATGTTGCAGCTGCATTTGGAATACTGCATACAGTTCTGGTCACCTCAAAAAGGATTTTGTAGAGCTGGGAAAGGTTCAGAAAAGGGTAGGCAAAATAATTATGGGGCTGGAGCAACTCCCCTACAAGGAAAGGTTGTAGCATTTGGGCCTCTTTAGTATAGAGAAAAGGTGCAGAAGAGGCATCATGATAAGAGTGCGTGAAAATTATGCAGGGCATAGAGAAAGGGGAAAGGGGAAAGTTTTTCTCCCTTCTCATAACACTACAAGTCATTGACATCAAACGAAGCTGAATGTTGGAGGGTTCAGAATAGACAAAAGAAAGAACACAGTGCATAGTAAGTTTGCTCCCATGGGAGGCGGTGATGGCCACCAACTTGGATGGCTTTAAAAGAGGATTAGACAAATTCATGGAGGCCAAGGCTACTGGTGGTTGCTAGCCATGATGTCAGTGTTTTACCTCCACTGTCTGAGAAGGGAAGCCTCTGAGTGCCAGTTGCTGGGATTCACAAGTGGGAAGAGTGCTCTTGTGCTCAGGTCCTGTTTGCAGGCTTCTCACGGGTGACTGTGAGAACCGGGTGCTAGACTAGATAGGCCGTTGTCCTGATCCAGCAGGTTCTCTTTTATGTTCTACAAGTATGACCTTCAGCAAAGTGTTGCAGTGCATCTGCTCCTCCTTAGAGGAGAATTCCTGTTGAGGGTTTAGGTATGCAGCTCACCAGCCACGTGCTCCTTCAAGATATTCCATCCCATCCCCTCAGCTTGAAGTTTTCTTTTCCAGCAGACACTTAACCTTTGTGGTCACTGAATGTGTTCTGCTCTCATAGTGTTGTCCCTTTAGGGCTTTAAAAATATATTTTGTATACTTCTGCAAACCACAAGGTTATCTATAATATGTTGATGCCAGCTTCTTGTTTCTCAGTGGATATGTTTGGGCTGCAAAGTTATTGGCTCAGTACTCACCACCTGAGATCACTGGTAGAGGGAGTCCTCTAGCTTAAGCGGTTTGAGTTTCCAGCCGTTTTTCTTTCTTTCTTTTAAATAACAACATAGTTCAGATCCAAAATAATTACAACTAAAGCAATATTTTAAGGACTTTTAGCATAAGTGAAGAACTAAATTAATGCTCCCCCCCCCACCCTTGATGCCACACAAATTCAGCCAAAACAGATGAAAAAACCATGAAAAT